TGAGGAAGCTGGGCAAATAGCATGTGCACTCTGAAGCCGTTGGCAATGCTCTCCAAGATGGGCTCGTACTCGTGCAAGGTGAGATACCCACCGCTCTGCTACCTGCCAGCAGTTCACCTCTTGAGAAACATAGGTACGTTTCCGTGGTGGTTGTCACGCAACCTTTTCCCATTTCCATGAAACAGCACCAACACGTCCAAGATGTTTGCGATGGTTGGCCCCTCGAAGCTGCCACTTGTCCGCCAAATCCAGTTCGATATGCTGTACCACTTCGCCCCAGGCCGTCTGCAGCGACGCATTGTCATGCGCGTCCAACACTGCCAACCGTACCTGACACCAAGCACCCCGCCGAGGGTAGTACGGACAACCAATAGGAGGAACTGATCCGAACCCTCGCGGTTCATCAATAACCCTACGCCATGTTGGAATATCATGTGCCAACAGCGAATATCGAACAGGCGAGTGTGTAGCTATTGCAGAGTCATGCACCACCTCTGGCTTTTGCATGCGCGTGTTAATGTTGTTGGCCACTAGCGCGCAATCAAAAACCGTGCCCAACATACTATTATGACAAGTGGAAGTCTCGGGGAAAAAAGGAGAAAACCATGCACCTGCCCCAGCCATTCGTCAGCCCAGACATCAGGTTGTAAGTTCCAATCTCCCAGGACAATCCAATCCACACCCAAAAAGTTGAGCAATCCAACATACTTCAAAATGCCTGATATGATGGCCATGTTGTCAGCGTCGAGGCCCTGATCGTCGTACAAGTACACGCTCATTACTACGATGCCTTTTGGTACTCCCCAGTGTAGGTGTGCCGCCACAAACCTATCTTCGGGTAAATCCACCCGTGCACCAAATGGAGCCTCAGTCACCGTGATATCAGTCGTGACCAACACAGCTACCCCCGCTCTCGTGCCGCCTGCTTTTGTCACCGAAGCTGGTGACCAACATCCATGGTATCCTAAGTCTCGAACTTGTCTTTGTATGGATAGCAGCCGATCGCCATGAGCATGGTGCTCTTGCACCGCGAAAACTTTGCCTTCAGGTTCTTGAGACAAGTAACCAATGAGTGAGCCAGCGCCCGTGACATTAACCGTAGTGAGCGATCCTTGCACCCGACGCCCCTCATGACCGTCACGGGTGTCGCGATGTAGCGGTAGGACTGGCTCTGGCAAGCCACCTTGACTTGACCCGTGTTCGCCCTCCTGCAGCATATCCACCACCTGATCTTCATCTTGGTGAGGGCGGCGGGGGGCAGGAAGATAGTTAGGTGTAGGCGCACGTGCTTGCAATAGTCTCCTCATCATGGCCCGAAGCTCAGCAAGTTCACGCCAGTGCTGCATCTCGTACTCATTCCTATCCGTATGTGGCATATCTGCCAGCCGCTGCAAAAAGGCCGTACGTCGTGGTGCTGCCTGCCTCCAAGCTCTGTCTGGCACATAGTTCCTCAATGATCTGAGCAAGGGCACGGTGTGGAAACCAACGTAAAAGAGCAACCCTTAGCCCATGATTGCCTCTTCGCCGAAACATTTCGTCTAGGAAAGGTTCGCACCATCGCCTCCAGTTGTTGTCGCCTCGCGGACCGAACACTAAGTCGTCCATCCACATAGCCGCCCAAGACTGCAGGTCCTGACGCATCGTGACGTAGTCGTCCATGGCCTGCTCCCGTTGTTCACGAACGTGGTCAAACAATTCAGGAGGTGGACGACCCATGGCGGAAGGTGGCTCTGCCTGAGCCTTGATCCGTCGCGTTCTTTTCCAGTATCCTTTCCCTTTTTGGCGACGAGGCAAATCCCCCTGGGAGAGGGCCGCGCGGTGGCCGTTGGGCCGCACCGGCAAATCCAGGACCCTGGGTTCTCTGAAGTCCTGGATCCCAGAAGACGGGGGTTCCTTCGCCTCGGGAGTAGCAAAAGCAGACTCTGATAATGTCACCTCCATGCCTGGCTGCAAGCTCAGAGAAAATTCTGCTGCCATAAATAGCGTGGCCAACCTCGACGTAGCTCCGCTCAGCTCTTCGCGTGATACCACGTACAGCTGCCAGAAATCGCCAAGAATGTCCATCTGTCGTTGTCCATCATGAATCGTACACGCCATGGTAACATCAAAGAAATATTGCCAGAAACCATCACCATGCAGCCATACCCAATCACTCGTATGGGCTGTAGCGCGATACTCGCTTGTGCATAAGGTTAGCTGCGGCACGTAGTTTCCCGAGATCCAACTTCGCAACTGCCTCGGAGTCGACAACCCCTGATTCGACAAAGATATCGCGAAGAGCCTCCTCGTCGGCGTCACGTAGACTAGGGAGGGCATCTGCAGGTTCCTCTGGTTCCACCACCATGTCTGATGTAGCCCCTGCGGCCGCAGCCACTGGTCGAGGTAGGAGGTTACCTGCAGGTTCTGCCAACACTGGTTGAACCAGCTTCGCCAAGTCCTCCTCTTGAGCAATCTTAGATAACAATTCGCCTTCCACCCCATGCTTTTTGAGAACAGCTTCCAAAGTATCCAGCTTGAAGAGGGCGCGCTGTACCGATACCATAGCTCCATCTGCCGCCTGAGCAGGAGGCCGAAGAGCAGTGGCGGCAAGTTGCGCACGCTGGCCTTCAAGTGTAACCTGCTGCTGACGGAGAGTGGCCAAGTTGGTCTGGTCCTCCTCGATTGCCTCCTGCAGCAGCTTGAGTTGCTTTTGCCGCTGATCAGCCGCGGCTTCTGCTTTTTGAATCTTCTGGTCCAGCTGGTAAAGCTTGCGATTGACCTCATTGATCTGCACCCCAACAGGCTTACGTTCACGTCTTTCCAGCTGAAGTTTGTCCAGCTGTGCAACAAGCTCCTTCCTGGTACTTGCCAACTCAGGGACTTCTTTTACCAGCGCCTCAGGGAGCTTCTGCAACTTTGTGTCCAACATTGCAAGTTGTTTGTCCAAGGAATCATCGTCCAGGTCGTCGGCTTCCACCGTGGGCTCAACTTGCATTGGGCTAGACTGCAGTGGCAGCTGTCGTTCACGAAGTTGAGCACGCAACTCTGTGATATTTGCCTCCAGCTGCTGAATGACACGTTTTGTCTCCCAGGGCGTGGTCGGAGCAGCCTTGGATGCTGTGTGCTTGCTGGGGCTTCCACTCTCCTTATTCCCACCGAAGACGTTGCGCTTGTGCATCTGACACTGCTTACAATGAAGATGCATGCCCAAGTTGCACACACGCTTGCCCTTCTGAGAGCCCCACTTGACCGTACAGTCCTTGCAGTACCAGTCACTTCGCACCCGCTCCTTTTCACCTCCCATGAGCGCCGTGGCCGCAAGCGAGCACCCAGAAGAGACGTAATGACTGAGAGTAGCGCCCACGGCGCGGAATTACAGTATGGAGAATGCTGACCCGCAGGGTCATAAATGGCGGGGGCCGCGATTTCCCCCTTGCCAGGCAGGCCAAGCCCTGAGCGAAACGCTACGGACTTGAGCCAAAATGGCTACGGACCTCCTCCTCCTCCTCCTCCTCCTCCTCCTCCTCCTCCTCCTCCTCCTCCAGGTGGGGCCCGGCCAGCGGCGGTGGATGTGCACGGTTTCGGTGCCCTGCAGTCAAGACGCTGAAATTGTCGGAGCTGTTCGGGTGCGGAAGGGGCCCGAGGCTCCCCAGGCTCCTCCACTGCTGTCCCTCTCGCCCTCCGCGGGCACGGAGGCGCTCTTGGGGCCAAAAAGGGGCCTCGGTCCTGATTCGGCGCTCCTTCCTTCAGCGGCCCGACTGCACCTCAGTGCCTCTGGCTTCCCCGCATCCTCGTCCGAAGCGGTGCTCGTCCCCAGAACCGCTGACGTCCACATCTGCTGCTCGTGACGCCCACCCCCAGAGGTCTCGCCCCCATTCCCCTGGGCCGTCCCTTCAGCCCGAGCCATTTTGTCGACGGCCCCGAGGCCCGAGGAGCGCCCCCAGAGACCGAAGATCTACGAATTCTCCCCTCCGGATTCTTGTCACCACTCGAGGCGGTCTGGGTTCGTCCGGATCCTCGGCGGCGAGCCCGGGGGGGAAGTGAGAAGGGGTTGGCTTTCTGAAAAGGTTCGGAAGGCTCCTGGCCTTCTGAGAAGCTTGGCCAGCCTTTCCCGACGACAGGGCGCGAGGGCCTCTGAGAAGCCCCGCCGCCTTCTGAGAAGGCCTCCCCCCCATGTCGAGCGGACTGAGCTGTGCTGCCCCAGGCCCGCGTCTGACGGATCGAGCCCCTCGTCCATCTCGGCAGGAGTCCAAACATTGTATACACTTCTCAAGTTGTGCGTGTCATCCTTGCGCAGGGGCCATGCTAATCTTCTCTGTATCGTTCCAATGTTAACGGATGATCTCCGAAGGGGCAATGCTAATTTTCTTTGGGTTCCTTTAAGGGAAGATCCGTTAACATTGGAACAATACAGAGAAGATTAGCATGGATCCATCTCGGCAGGAGGGCCCGTGGGTCTGTCGCCGCGAGGTCACGCCTCACTCTTGACTGTGCCTGCTGGGGGCTGCGGTGGATGGTCTCCAGGGGCGACGTCTGCGGAGAGGCAGGCGCAGGAGGAAAAGACGAGGACTACCCTCCAGAGATCCGACGTCGTGACTGTTTCAATGCAGGGCCCCCGGGAGGCTCGACCCATTCCCCAGGACCCGTTTTCTATCCCGAGTCGTGTGTTGACGGCCCCAGGGCTCGGCGAGGGCCTTGGAAAGCGAAGAAGACTGCGCAACGCCTCCGCCTCGATTTCTTCCATGCGCTGGATCTCTGGTTCTCCCCCCTCGCTCGCCCCCCTCGCTCGCCGCCGAGATCTGTCCTCCCCCGCCTTCCCACGACGACGACCACGACCACGACGACCACGACGACCACGACGACCACGACGACGACGACGACGACGACCACGACGACCACGACGACCACGACGACCACGACGACGACGTCGACGATGACGATGACGACGCCGCCGCCGACGACGACGACGACGAGCTGGCGCGACGGCGCGGGGGCGAGGCGCGCGCCGCGCGATCCCCGAGGCGGCGCCCGCCGAGGCGTCCACGGCGCCGCGCCCCCGGGGGGGCGCGGGGGCCCCTGCGCCGCCGGCGCCCCCGGGGCAGCTGCCGGAGGCCTCGGAGGAGGACGGCGAGGGCGAGGACGAGGACGACGAGGCTTCCAGACGAGGAGGAGGCCGAGGAGGAGGAGGAGGAGGAGGAGGAGGAGAAGGAGGAGGAGGAGGAGGAGGAGGAGGAGGAGGAGGAGGTCGAGGAGGAGGTCGAGCAGCAGGAGGAGGAGGAGGAGGAGGAGGAGGAGGAGGAGGAGGAGGAGGAGAGAGAGGAGAAGGAGGAATAGGAGGAGGAGGAGGAGGAGGAGGAGAAGCAGGATGACGAGGACGAGGGCGATGCTTCCAGGCCTCCCGGATGGGGTCGGAGTAGACGGGGTCGGAGGATCACTCCGCATCGCCGCTGCAGTGGCGATGCGGTCCAATGTGAAGCCCGATTTGCTTTACGTCGGCGATGCGATGCATCGCCGACGTCGACGATGTGCCGCCAGTGCATCGGCGATGCATCGCCGATACACCGCCGATGCATAGTCGATGTATCGGCGATGCGGCGCGATCGTCCGACCCCATCTACTCCGACCCCATCTAGGGGGCCTCTAATGCCGTTGGCGAGGACGATGACGATTACGATGACGTCATCGGCCAGGGGCGCCGTTGCTTCGCCCGAGGAGCTCGGCCGTTTCCTGCCGCAGGTTCTCTCGAGCCTGGCGCGCGGATGCGGCTCCCGAGCTGCGGTGGATCACCGTGGACTCGTCTCTTCGGCTACTCCAGATTTCGTAATAAAAGGGAGGGGGTCTGGACCCTCCAAGACAAGCCATTTCAGACCCCCCCCCCGTGGGAGAACCCTCCAAAACATCGTCCCCAGACCCCCCCAGGCTCTCCAAGACAGCCTGGGAGAGACCCCCCCCGAAATGAGACCCCCTCCCTTTTATTACGAAATCTGGAGTACGTGCCCCAAGCCTGAGATCCTAGCGTCCCAATTTGTTCGGGCTGGGCGTTCGGGCTGGGCGTCCCAACTTGTTTGGGCTGGTCTCGCTCGGCCTCCCAGACGGAGTCGCCGGTCGGAGTTGATGGGGTCGGAGGATCGTGCCGCACCGCCGACGCATCGGCCATGCATCGGCGATGCGGCTCGATGTTGAGCCCGAGTTTCTCCACGCCGACGCATCGTCGACGTGGCCAGGGGCCCACGCATGACGAATAAACAACATACAACCATGCCCATATGGGGTCGGAGGGAGGAGGAGTGGCTGCGGGCATGGGTGCGGGTTGTCGGACCTCGGCGGAGGCCCCGTTCAAGCTGCCCCCCCCCTCTCCAGCCGACAACACGCACCCGTAGCGTTTTTGTCCGCCGCCTTATAGGTATGGACGCGTTTTGTTCGCCCATCATGGTAGATCGATCAGGATGGACATTGGCATAGAAACATGGGGTCTCGGGCATCAGTCGCGGTTTCTATCGGTGCTTCCATTTTTCTAAGACGGATCGGTGGTGAGCGAGTGGGGAAATGAGTAGAAGGCCCTCTCAGAAGGCGGCGGGGCTTGTCAGAGGCCGTCGGGCCTTCTGAGAAGTTCCCGGTGCCTTGGGGGAAGGCTTGGAGAATGTTTGAGAAGGCCGGGGGATGTCTGAGCCCTCTGAAACGGCCCTCCCCCTACTTCCCCCCCGCGCTGGTCGTCGATCCAAGGGTGTTCACCACTCGGTTTCGTCGCAGTCGGCTGCGTTCGGTCAGTTCGGTTCGGTAGGTTATGGTGCCGCTGACGCGTCGCCGCGCCATTCTACGCTGCTTTCGACATACCGGCTTCGGTCGGTTTCAGTTTCGCCGTCGGTTCCGTCGGTTTCTGTTTTTTGTGGAGGTGGAGGAGGAGGCGGAGGAGGAGGAGGAGGAGGAGGCCGTGCCCCCCCCCCTCCCCAGAGCCCCCTCGCCGCCCCCCCGCCCCTCCCCCCCCAACCCAACAGGATGGCCTCCCTCCCTCCCTCCCTCCCTCCCCAGCACGCGACTGCGAGCTGTGGTTCTTGATTCTGCCTCCGGGGGCCTTCGGCGGACCTCGGGCCCAGGCCTGCGGAGGGGGTCGGAGAGCCGCCCCGCATCCCTGCTGCCTCGGCGAGGCGGCCCGGTGTGGAGCCCGACCCGCCCCACGCCGACGGCGCGGATGCATCGCCGACGTCGCCAGAGTCTTGCGATCGCAAACAGTCCTCCTCCTCCTCCTCCTCCTCCTCCTCCTCCTCCTCCTCCTCCTATTCCTCCTTCTCCTCTTTCTCCTCCTCCTCCTCCTCCTCCTCCTCCTCCTCCTCCTCCTCCTCCTCTCCTCCTCCTCCTCCTCCTCCTCCTCCTCCTCCCCCTCCCCCGACATTCACCGACGTCGCGACGTCAACGACACTTGGCTTCTTGTCCTCGTTCGTGGGGGAATGGGCTGGGGGTTCAGGCTCGAGGGCTGGAAGGGGAGCCGCAAGGTGGCCTCCGACCGCCACGGCTGGATGTCCCCCCCCGAAGTTTTTGTCAGAGCGAAGCCCCTTGAGAGGGGCTTCAGCCACGCGCAGACGGGGGTAAGGGGGGGAGGGAGGAAGGCTTCTTAGAATCAGGCGATCGCAGACATGGATCGAGGGGGGCGTGGATTCGCGACGGGTCCCGTTTCCATGGGAAATCGTGGAGTCCCGCCGCCGAACGAGGCGGCGCCGGCCGCATCCCCCGATCCATGGATTTGGCGACCGCGCGCCTGATCCATGGATCGCTAATCCATGTCTGCGCGCCCCCGGCAGAGTATCGCCGATGCATCGGCGATGCCTTGGCGACGCGGCGCGACCTTCCGACCCCGTCGCCTACGACCCCATCCGAGAAGCCGGGGCGGGGGGGTCGTGGGGGCGGCCCCGTGACATCTCCGCGTCGTGAACAGAATCAGTGCGGGAAGTTTTGGCCGTCTTCGATCCCTGGTGGCTCTCCTCCGGCGCTCTGGGGCCATCAGAGAGCTTCGGGATGACGAGCCAGTCCCAGGCAACGGGTCGGAATTTCCAGCGATCCCATGTTAAACCAAAAACGCCACATCGCATTTCTGGGTGGGCGTGGGTCAAAGTCAGGCTTTGAGACCCAGGCTTCGCAAGTGTTCACGACGGGCGTATTCGTCCAGTTTCGGTCCCCGCGACCATCACATATTAGTCTGCTTCGATAGATACCGTAAAAGATGGGGTCTATTGTTTTGGTCGTGATTTTCAACGATGTCGTTTTTTCTCGAAACGTCGAATCTCCAAGGGGGAACGCTCGAGGTTCGAAGTTTTTGGGCACAGCCTGGGGATGCCTTCCAGCAGCTGCGCCTCGCCGAGAGCTCTCTGGGAGGAGAAGTACAAACCTCTTGTACGCATGTTGGGTTCCTCCTCGTATCCCTCCTGTTCCTCCTCCTCCTTCTCTTCCTCGTCATCCTCCTTCTCCTCGACCCCCTCTTTCTCCTCGTCCTCCTCCTCGTTCTCCTCCTCATCCTCCATCTTCCTCCTTCATCGCATCTTCCTCCTTCGTCGCATCGGCTTCTTCCTCCTCCTCCTGCCTCCTCAAGTTCGTCGCTCGTCGGCCCGTTCGTTCGCTCCCTGCACCTCCTTCAGCCCAGACTTCCCGGCGAGTGCTATGCTGTTCAATCCTGCCGTTTTCATCGTGTGCGGCGCTTCCCAAGGCCATCGCACGCCGGCCTGGGGCGGGAAAGTGCCCCTGCGGGGCGCCTTTGGCAGGAGAGGGAGGAGGAGGACGAGGAGGAGGAGGAGGAGGAGGCGGGGGAGGAGGAGGAGGAGAAGGAGGAGGAGGAGGAGGAGGAGGCTGTCAAAAAGCGCTTCGGGAGGGCTCCTTGGGCAAGGCGTCGTCGAGAGGCCACAGGGGTCCCATGTCGTCAACGGAGCCGAGCCGATCGGGGATCGAGGGCACCAGCTTGGGGCCGCCCCCCGGCCGCTCCGGACTCCTAAGAGCTTCTGAAAGCGCCCATGGAGAGTATCCTCAGGAGGGGAAAAAACACACAGGCACAATGAATCGTCGATCCCCTAGAAAAACATGGGAGCATATGGGAAGTGGGGGGGGAAGACAGAAACCCAGAAAATATGCGATAATATGGGGGATCATTTTATTTGTGTGTATTTATTTGTGTGTTCTGGGGCCCCTTCAAGTATGCCGGGCGTGGCCAGGAGGGTGCGCCGTTCCAGAGCGTTCTGGGACGTTGTCGGAGCGCTCCGGAGCGGTCTTTGAACGGCCGTGACGCCAGAGGCATCCTCCAGAGCCGCCAGCTCCCAGCGACCTCCCTGGGGCCGGGTTCGTGCCACTCCGGAGGCCTCTGGAGGCGTCTGCAGAGAAGCTGCGCCTCCAGGGGGGGGCGGCTGCGGGTGCCCGTCTGTCTGCCCCGCCGCGCCGCCGCCGGTGCGGGTCGGGGCCGCGTCCGCGCCGGACGCGCAGGCAGAGTGCTCGGCCGCGCGCAGAGGGGGGGCAGGGGGGGGGGGAGGTTTCTTAGAAGCGCCCCTGCCTCTTAGAATCGGGGGTGGACAGAACCCTCAACAGTGACACGTCGATTAGTGAATTGTCCGTTTTCGGTTCTCGAGGGGGCGCCGTGGCCGTTATTTTCCAGGCTTGCGCCCGCCAGGTTTGGGCCTCAGGTCGTTTTCACTAAACCACGTTTTACTAAAGGGGGTCTGTCCATCCCCGATAGAAGGCGCGGGCCTTATCTCTAGATGTAAGGCCGGGCCCTTCTAAGAAGCAGCCTTCTTCTAAGAAGCTTTCCCCCCCTCCCCCTAATTACCCCCTTCTGCGCGCCGCCAAAATGCATGATTGACAAGCCCCCCCGAAGACTGTACACAGCTTGGGGAAGAAGCGGAATGCACAGAAGTGTTCGGAGGTCCACGCGGATGTCTTGGATCTAGGCTTGGACCCCCTGGCGGCGCTTCCGGCGCCGCCTCTGGCAAGCTCCGCGCATGGAGGGGTGTCCAGCGCAGAGCCAACACGTATTTTGCCACAGCTGGGCATCTCGAACGCCTGGCCAGAACGCACCCCAGGAGAGATCCGGGATGTGTCGGATCGGTAAATCGTTGTGTCCCCCCACCTCGGTCTTCGGAAAGGGCGACGACGCCGATGGGGAAGACCTCGACGACGGCGCCGACGACGACGACGACGATGAGGACAACGACGACGACGACGACGACGACGACGACGACGACGACGGACGACGACGACGACGACGACGACGATCAGCAGCAGCGACGGCGACGATCAGCAGCGACGGCGGCGGCGGCGGCGGCGACGACGACGACGGCGGACGGGCCGACGACGCCGCCCCACGGGCCGCGGAGGGGCCGAGAGACCCCCGCGCGGCTCCCCCCGGGCGGCCTCGCGAGGAGTGGCGGCGCCGCGCGCAGACGAGGAGGAGGGCAGTCGCCGCGTGCAAGGCACCGCGCCGCCGCCGCAGCCTTGTCGTTTTCCGTCGTCCTTCTCCTCCTCCTCCTCCTCCTCCTCCTCCTCCTCCTCCTCCTCCTCCTCCTCCTCCTCCCGAGGCGGCCAGGGCCACCACCTGGCCACGCTCGTCTCTGCATCTGCCCCCTCGGGAAGGGCCCCGGTGGGCGCTCGAGGGAGCGAGCGAGCGTCAGTCTGGCGCCGGACTCCAGTCGCCAACGGCAACCGGGCTGCCCCCTCTCTCTTAAGGACCGAAACAGGATTCATCAAAGCACGCGCGGTGGTGGTGGTGTATAAAATTCTGGTTACCAAGAGGAGCGATTCTTATACACCACCACCAAGAAGTGCTGTTTCAACTTCGGGAACTCCCCATGCCACGGCGCCTGCGAGCTGCGCTGCGCGCCTTTTCGCCGTGGCGTCGCAGCGTCGCCTGGCATGGCCCTGCCCCTACGCCTTTCTGCGGCAAATTACTGTTGCGGGCGGTGGTGGTGGTGTGTGTATATATATATATATATATATATATATATATATATATATATATTGGCCTCGCAGCTCTAGAACGGTCGTTGCTCAGTATCTGTTAACCGATCCCCATCCCCATCCCCATCCCCGTCGAGACCCCAATCAAATTATCCCCCCAGTTGGGGATACACCCCTCGAAACCTCCAGGGAATCTCCTATATCCCCATCTAGGGGGGAAATCGGCCAGTGGGGCCTAGGCCACGCCGCTGGGGATGGGGATCGGCGAAACGATACTCAGTTGCGCCCGACCCAGACATGCTCGCGTCGCGAACAAACTCAAGACGGGCCCGGCGACTCGCCGATCCCGTCGAACAGCTTCGGACTCGCCGAGCCCGCGACTTGTGGAGCCCGGACTCGACTGTCCAGGACGAAGATTTCGTCGTCGAGAAGTGGTCCCGAATTTCGGAGATCCCGTCTGGACAGAAAGAAAGCAGGACATCGGAGGCCCGGGTCAGAGCGGTCCGAAGCGTAATTCGCGGTATGGATCGGCCGCGGCGCACGCTGCATCTTCCAGAACCGCCGGGTCTCAGAGATCCCTGGTGCTCCTCCCGGGCCTGGGGGCCTGCCGGATGGGGTCCGAGTACAGGTGGGGTCCTAAGCGTTTGAGTCGCTGGACGGTTTTCATCGGCTGCGCCTCGTCGAGGGCGTTGCAGGGGTGTTCGGGTCTTCCCGACTGGGCGTTTGAGGGCAAAGTCATGATCCGAAAACCGGACGACGAGGGCGTCCGAGTAGATGGGGACAGAGGATCGCGCCGCATCGTCGACGTATCGGCGATGTGGCTGGATACGGAGCCCGATGTTCCCAGCGCCGACGTCGCCGATGCACCGCCGACGGAGCCGATGCAGCGCTACGATATCTCGGGGCTGCGTCGGCGATGCGGCGTGATCTCCGACACTATCCACCCGGACCCCATGTGGAAGGCCTCGTGGATTCCGTGGCTCCCGTCAGCCACGCGCAGAGGGGGGTGGGGGGAGGGGGGAGGGCTTCTTAGAAGCACCACTGCTTCTTAAAAGGCGCGGGCCCTACCTAGATGTAAGGCCGGCGCCTTCTAAGAAGCAGCCTGCTTCTAAGAAGCCCCCCCCCCTCTCCCCCCACCCCCCTCTGCGCGCAGCCAATCCCCTGCTCTTTTTTTCGACACGCCCCCTTATTGTCCTCCCCCCAAACCTCCGTCGGGCGACTGCGCGTGAGGTGCAAGCCCTGGACTCAGGCCTCGGCGGTCGGGCCTCGGCTCGGGCCTCGGGCGGCCTGCTGGGCCGCGCCGGGCACCCCCCAGGAAAAGGAAAGCTGCTCTCGGCGAGGAGCCGCGGCCGAAGCGCCCCCCGAGACCAGAAAGCCGCCGGGAGCCGACGAGGAGACGTCCGAACGCCGCGAGCCTCGGAGCCGAAGCGCTCCCCCCCTCCTCTTGGCCGCCCGCCTCCCAGGTTTGCCGGCCCGGAACACATCCCTGTCCCTGAGCTGGGCCTCGCCTCCTCACGATGCCAATCTTGGGCATCCCTTCAGTGTTTCAGGGCGCAGCCTTGAGATTGTCATCGCCTCTGGGCGTGTCAATCTTAGGGATGAGGATAAGTTCGAGGCGGGTGATGGATGCCCCAGCCCTGACCTCTTCCAGAGAGCTATGTTTTAGCACTGGAGGCCTAAAAACCTGAAACACTGAGCGAAACAGCCTAAAACCAAGACGTAGAATAGCCTTAGGATAGGTTTTGAAGTCGCGTGCTATTTTTCTGCCCTCTTGGAAGGTCAGGGAGAGCAGCCACCAGCAGGTGCCGCCCGCCTCCCCCGCTCTGCCGGCTGCCCGAAGGGCGAGGCCTTGCGGGGGGCGAGCGCGTGCGTGGCTCCGGCGGCCGAGGCGGCCCGAGCCTCGCCGCCGGCGGGAGCCTGCGGAGCGCGCCTGCACGCACGCAGGTTACCAGCTTCGAGCGTGTCCCTATCCCTAAGATCGACACGCCAAAAGGCGATGACAATCTTCGGGATGCGCCCTCAAGAATAAGGGAACCCCTAAGATCGGCATCGTGATGAGGAGATTCAGGAGGGGAAGAAACACACAGACACAATTAATCGTCGATCCCCAGGAAAATATAGGAAAATATGGGAAGTGGGGGGGAAGACAGAAACCCAGAAAATGTTAGAAAATATGAGGATTTGTTTTATTTGTGTGTATTTATTTGTGTGATTGTGGGCCCCTTCAGAGGAGATGCCCAGCATAGGGATAGGGACATGTTCCAGGCTGGTACGCAAGGGGGCCGCTGCTCGAGCAGCGGCGAGGCGCCCTGGCTCGCCCATGGGCCCAGCAGGTGGTGCTCTAGGTCCTTGGCATCGCTCGGACGTGTGCATTTTTCCTCCGGCGAGGACCATCGAGGAGTATCCTCGATCATTTGGCGAAAAAACCACGCACGAAACCGAAAAAAACACAGGGAATGGACGTCCGAGCGATGGCGAGGGTCAGAACAGGAGAAAGCGCATAAGCACAAAGGGTTTGATTGGTTTTACGGCCGGAAGGGGGCGTCGCTGAGAGGGTGCCTGGCACGGATGCGGGGATCGGGGTGGCGTCGGTGTTTGGAGCTGGCGGTTTTCGTGGCAAGTGCATTTAGCTGGTCGCATGTGTTCGGAACGCGTGACGGGTGGAAAGGCCGCTCACCAGCAACTGGCAGTCCTGGCTCGCCCATGGGCCCAGCAGGTGGTGCTCTAGGCCTTTTATCGGTGGTTTGCGCGGAATGCCCTTGGACCGCAGGGGGAGGGGTCTGCTGACCCCAGGGGGTTCGTGCCGGCCTCCCGCCACGCAGGCAACTTTCGAGGCTCGGTGCCGAGTGCGCCAGTACACGTGGCAGCGCACGTCGGGAAGCAGGTTGGCCCCTTCCCCGCTCGACCAGCGGCGGGCCAGAAGCCATGCCGACCCCCCTCACCATGAAGAGAGCAAGTCTTGAGGGAAACGGGTCCACAAGCATGATCGGCCCATTGAACGTACCCCCCCCCGTGCATTCTTCCAATCAAGCCGCATCGGAGATACCTAGCTCATGTTCGCCGTGATATGTTTGGCAACGCATGTTGCACGGCGAAGCACCCATGTCACCCGTTATGCAACATTTCGTCATATCTACACCTATCATGTGGACGTTCCAGCAGAGCGGAACAACATACCAGGACCCAGAGGTGGAGGATTTGACGGAAGAAGGCAGGAAGGAGCGGGGAGGAGGTTGAGAAGGGCGACGACGTCGGTGGCGATGCAGAACGGCGACAGCGCACGACGATGGTTGACGACGAAAAAAACAATAGTATTAAACACACGACGATGGCGGACGAAGGATAACGGAGGACGTTGACCAGGACGACCGACGACGACGGACGACGATATACGACGACCGACAGCGGTGGCGCGGACGACCCACGACGACGGACGACCACGACCACGGACGACCACGACCACGGACGACGACAGACGACCGACGAGGGACGACGCACGACGGACGACGACCGACGGCGGCGCCAGCGACGGCTGCAGATCTGCGGGCACCCCGCAGGCCAGCCTCGAGTACCGGTGGTGCCCGACCCCGCGCCCGCCTCCCGTCGGGGCCGGGTCTCGAGGGCGGTGGTGACCCAGGGAGTGCGGGTGCCATGGTTGGGGTCGCGAAGTCGCCCCAGGTTTAAGTCCGGCCTGTCCACCTACAGAGGGATTTTCGACGGAAAAAAAAATACCCCCAAAATAATCAAAAAATAGTCTGGGGACTATTGTTTTGGCATGTGTTGACAATTTTGAGGTATTTTGGGGGTATTTTTTCTCTTTCGTCGAAAATCCCCCTGTAGGGGGACAGGCCCGACTTAACCCCAGGTTTGATGGCCCGCCTCTCGTCGGTCTTCCGAAACAGATGAAGAGATCTGCCAGTTTCGGCTTCGGGGGGCCCTGCCCCGGGACCTTCCAAGCACGGTGCAGGAAGAAGAGACGGCCCCCGGAGAAGGGGTGCAGCCCTCCAGGGGGTCCCCGCCGCCGATCCCCGCCTCGCCGCCTCGGGGAACGAGCAATTGCTTACATGATCCATGATGGTACGAATACGAATTATAAGTATCATAATGATAGTAGTAATGATAATAATAAATATAATGATAATAATAATAAGAATGATGATACTAATAATAGTAGTAATAATAATAATACGAATAATAATAATAAAAACAGTAGTACTATTACGAATCATAACATTCATAGCAGTACGAATAAGAATAATGATCATAATAATGGGAAAAGTAGTAATAACGATCATGATAGCAATATTAGTAGTAATAATAATAATAATAAAATAAAAATAATAATAATAATAATAATAATAATAATAATAATAATAATACTAATAATAATAATACAGATTGTAATCATAGTACGAATCACAAACGTACGGAGGTCCGCGCGGATCTCTTGGCTCGGCCCCGGTGCCCCCCCTCCGGCGCCGCGGAACCAGTGCCGATCCAGGAGATCCGCGCAAATTTTGGTATGAACGTATATTGAGTGGTTGCGCCCTTGGGGTCGGAGGATCGCGCCGCATCGCCGATGCATTGCCGATGCGGCGCGGTCTAGGGCCCGATTTGCTTCACGTCGACGACGCCAATGCATCGCCGACGTCGACGATGCATCGCTGGTGCATCACCGATGCATCGCCGATGCATCGCAGATGCATGGCCGATGCATCGCCGATGCGGCACGATCCTCCGACCCCATCTACTCCGACACCATCTAGGAGGGCCTCTAGTTCCCCAGAGATCGCCCTGGACTCCGGGGGCCCGCTGCCATAAATTCAGTACGCCCCTCGGCCACCCCCCACCCCCACCCTGGGCCACGCACGTGCCTCGGGCCATGGTCTGCGAGCCCCCCCTCTTGGGCGCCCCCCCTCTGTCGCCCCTTCGTGGAGGCGTCTGCCCGCGGCAGCGTCTTGCTCCTGCTGGCATGGAAGCAACGGGTGCTGAGGGAAGCGGGTCTTCAGGCTGTTCGCCGTTTGCGTGTTCCTTGGGCCATCCACCGGCGCCAGGACCGTCAAGAAAACGATTCAGGACAAAGGGCCAGTCCTGGGGAAGGCCATGGGTCCAGAACCGATTCTTTCGGAACCGTTCGCTTCACGCCAGTCCAGGACAAAGGGCCAGTCCTGGGGAAGGCCATGGGTCTAGAACCGAGTCTTTCGGACCCGTTCGCTTCACGCCAGTCCTGTTCCTGCTGGGCCTGTCTTCCACCACCACCACCACCACCACCACCACCACCACCACCACCACCACCACCACCACCACCATCATAAGTTGAAGGGGGGAGGGCGTCCTCCTCCCCCTCTTCTTCCTCCTCATCCTCCACCTCCTTCCCCCCTCCAACTTATGGTGGTGGTGGAGGGGGGAGGGCGTCATCCTCCCCCTCTTCTTCCTCCTCATCCTCCTCCTCCTTCCCCCCTCCAACTTATGGTGGTGGTGGTGGAAAACAGGCACATCAGCTCCTGCTTCTCCCTCTCCGCCTTCTCCTCGCTTGCCCCTGCAGCTCATGCTGGCGTCGTGGCCCCTGCTGCCGCCGGTTCTCCTGCTGCTGCTGCTGCTGCTGCTGCTGCTGCTGCTGGTCCTCCTCCTCCTCCTCCTCCTCCTCCTCCTCCTCCTCCTCCTCCTCCTCCTCCTCCTCCTCCTCCTCCTCCTCCCTCCTCCATCTCCACCCTTCCTCCCTCCTTCTCCGCCATCCTTTCTCTTCTCCTCCTCCTCCTCCTCCTCCTCCTCCTCCTCCTCCTCCTCCTCCTCCTCCTCCTCCTCCTCCTCCTCCTCCTCCTCCTCCTCCTCCTCCTCCCCCTCCCCCGACAGTCACCGTCGTCGCGACGTCAACGACACTTGGCTTCTTGTCCTCGTTCGTGGGGGAATGGGCTGGGGGTTCAGGCTCGAGGGCTGGCTGGGGAGCCGCAAGGTGGCATCTGACCGCCACCGCTGGATGCCCCCCCCGAAGTTTTTGTCAGAGCGAACCCCCTTGAGAGGGGCTTCAGCCACGCGCAGACAGGGGTAAGGGTGGGAGGGAGGAAGGCTTCTTAGAATCAGGCGATCGCAAACATGGATCAAGGGGGCGTGGATTAGCGACGGGTCCCGTTTCCACGGGAAATCGCGGATTTCCGCCGCCGAACGAGGCGGCACCGGCCGCATTTTGGGGAGGGCACCTCCCTCGATCCATGGATTTGGCGACCGCGCGCCAAATCCATGGATCGCTAATCCATGTTTGCGCGCCCCCGAGTAAGGGGGGAGGGAGGAAGGCTTCTTTGGAAGGAGGCTACTTGCTTGAAGGCGCGGGCCTTGTCTATAGATTTCAGGCCAGCGCCTTTAAGAAGCAGCCTCCTAAGAAGCCTTCCCCCCCATCCCCCTACCACCTTATGCGCGCCGCCAAGATGCATGATTGACAAGCCCCCCCGAAGACTGTACACAGCTCGGGGAAGAAGCGGAATGCACAGAAGTGTTCGGAGGTCCACGCGGATGTCTTGGATCTAGGCTTGGACCCCCTGGCGGCGCTTCTGGCGCCGCCTCTGGCAAGCTCCGCGCATGGAGGGGTGTCCAGCGCAGAGCCAACACGTATTTTGCCACAGCTGGGCATCTCGAACGCCTGGCCAGAACGCACCCCAGGAGAGATCCGGGATGTGTCGGATCGGTATATCTCTGTGTCTCCCCACCTCGGTCTTCGGAAAGGGCGACGACGCCGATGGGGAAGACCTCGACGACGGCGCCGACGACGACGACGACGACGATGAGGAGGACGACGACGACGACGACGACGACGACGACGACGACGACGACGACGACGACGACGACGACGACGGACGACGCCGACGACGACGACGACGACGATCAGCAGCAGCGACGGCGACGATCAGCAGCGACGGCGGCGGCGGCGGCGACGACGACGACGGCGGACGGGCCGACGACGCCGCCCGACGGGCCGCGGAGGGGCCGAGAGACCCCCGCGCGGCACCCCCCGGGCGGCCTCGCGAGGAGTGGCAGGCGCGGGCCTTGTCTATAGATTTCAGGCCAGCGCCTTTAAGAACAGCCTCCTAAGAAGCCTTCCCCCCATCTCCCTACCCCCTTATGCGCGCCGCCGAGGTCTGGAGAGGCCCGGGGACGAGGAGGAGGGCGTTCTCGGAGGAGCGCAACTATACAGCTCAACCTCGATCCCTTTAGGCAACCACGCTGCCCACTCCCCCTCCTCCTCCTCCTCCTCCTCCTCGACCCCTGCTATCGCAACTGCGCTGTCGTTTAGTTGTTTAGGCAACGGTTGATAGCATGAGTGTGCCTATTGAAAGTCGGCTTGTGCGGTGTTCCTGGTTTGCTTGGTGATATTTTGATTCGCGATATGGTTGTGTTACCGTTATGCTGTGTTGCGCGAAAAATCAGTTCAGTCTCGATATGTTCCCCGTGTCCCAGGAGGAAGCAAATCAGTCAGAGGAGCAGGGGGGAGGGACGAGGAAGGAGGCTCACTTGTATACGTGATCGGTCGATTTCTATAACCACAAATGCCTCTTGGACCCGTAGCTGTTTGGGGTCCTTCCGGAGCATGCTGGAAGCCATCTGGAGCGACCTCTCACGATCTCGAGCCGACTTGCAGGCCACCTTGGCTGCTGCCTGTGGGTCCAGGTCAAGGAGGACGCTGGTGGAGCGCATCGCGCACCAAAGGCCCGCCGATTTCCTCCTCCTCCTCCTCCTCCTCCTCCTCCTCCTCCTCCTGCCCCTCCTCCTCCTCGTCCTCTTCCCCCTCCTCCTCCTCCTCGTCCTCTTCCTCCTCCTCCTCCTCCTCCTCCTCCTCCTCCTCCTCCTCCTCCTCCAGAGGCACGAGGACCGTCGGAGATCGGTCCCCGATCCTCACTAGGACGACGGGCGATCGCCGACGGCGGGTCGCGCCCCGCCAGGTGCGAGGGGGCGCGGCTGCGGGGGGAGTGCGACTGCGACGGGCTGAGAACGCCCGACCCCACGGACCCGGCGGCGCGTGGAGGAGGAGGAGGAGGAGGAGGAGGAGCTAGATGCTCATCACCCCTCCCTCACCCCCCTCCCTTATCATCCGCTCTCTCCTTCTCTCCGTGGAGCCCTGGGCTGTGACCAGGAGTCCATGATGCTTATGTGTCTTGCTTTGTTTTGCTCTCTCTCTCTCTCTCTGTCCCTGTCTCTCTCTCTCTCTCTCTCTCTCTCTCTCTATATATATAGGTGTGTATATACATATATGTCTCTCTCTCTCTCTATGTATGTGTGTGTGTCCTTCCCAGCCTCCCACCTCATGCTCCCTCCTCTCCTCCACATCCCTCCACCCCCCCTCCCTCCTCAACCCCCCTTCCTCCCTTCTCCGCCTCCGTCCTTTACCCTCATCGCTCCTCATATCGAACCCTCATCGCGCCTCATATCTACCATCATCGCTCTTCATGCCTCCCTCATTCCTGCCCCTCCGCCAAGGACCGCACGACGAGCAAGCGGAGCTGGAAGTACAAGATGCAGCAGTGGCGCAGCGAGGCGTGCCCGAGCGCGCCTCCGCCAGCTCCTCCCCCCCCCGTCCGCTCGCCAGGAAGTGTCCAGCCTCCTCCCCCTCGCCTCCTCTCTCTCTTATTCCATCCTCCCCTCCTGGTTCCGTCCTTCTTGGTCTTGCCATCCTTCATCATCAGTCTTCCCTCCTCATCCTCCTCCAATCGAGGGGAAACAAGCCGAATATCGGAATCATCCTGAGCAGCCCAGGGGCCAACCATAAATGCATTCGCGGGTCGTTCCAGATTGGAGCGTCGTGGTAGCTTATGTGGGAAAGGTTGGGGATTTCTTAGGGCGTTGGCTTTTTAGTAGGGGCATCTTGGAGCTGGAGCTATGGGGGTTTCTTGGGGCCATGTTGGGGGCCATCGATCAAACAGGGGGGTCCGAAAGTAGGCCCGCCGCTCTTGAACCCGACATCTAGCCTCATGGAGTCATCTTGGGGCCGTCCACGGGCCACCTTGGTGGGCCCCCTTGTTGGGCGCTCTTGGGCAATCTTGGAGCGATCTCGAAGCCTCCCAACACACCAGGCGCTAAAAGGCGAGGAGGCTGAACTGGGTTATATTCCCATCGCGTGTTGGGAGGGTGTTGACATCTCGAGGGCGGCCTTGGGAGGCTCGGACTGAACGCGGAACCGTCGCAGGATGCCGGGGTATTGGGGCATCTTGTATTGGGACATCCTGGAGGCATAGATGATGCCAGCTCGGGCGGTCCTGGACCATGTTGCCCCAGCCTCGGCTGTCTGGAGTCTTCATGGAGCCATGGTGGCCCAGTGTGCGCGGCGCTACGGCGAGAACACTTTATTGAAAACGATGCGTTTTCCACATTCGTAATTGCTGCGATCGTTGAAGAAGACTAAAGTGTTCGGCTTGAAGACGATATTTCGATTTTGAAAACGATGGTTTTGCCTTCCTGGTCATTGTATGACAAGTTCGCGCTGAGCTCGGGCCAGAGGCCATCTGTGAAATCCTCCGTTGTTTCATCTGTTTCAAGTGTTGGCAGCTTCTGAGGCGAATGTGCGCGGCGCTAGCGCGAGAATTGCATGTTGAAAACGACCAGCACTCAACCTTCGTAATTGCTGCTAGCGTTTACGACGAATGAAGCGGCACTGATGCGAGTAGCCCATGTCTAAAAACCACCCGCCCGCCGTCTCTGTATTTGTTGCAAGCTTGTAAGACGAACGCGGCCGGCGCTCAGACGACCGGCCCTCCATCCTTGCCTCAAGGAGGCAGTTTCATCAAGCAGTGGCGAAGCGTCCTGGCTCGCCTATAGCCCTACCAAACAATGTTCTAAGAACCTTTTGAGGTTTCCACGGGATGTTCTTAGAACATTTCTGGCGGAGTCTGTCTTGTTTTAACACATCAGGTTGATGTTCTAAGAAAACTGATTTTGTTCTTAGAACATTCTGGGGGTTCGAGGAATATGTTGTGGTAGGGCATAGGAATGCCAGGACGGTCGGTCCCTGCTCAACTTCAGGGCCCCCCGGGGCAGCCAAGCGCAGGAGGTCTCAGACGAGACGCCCAGGCCAGCCAGACGCGGAGGGCATGTGTCACGAGAAGAGGATGGTGGAGGATGGGGGATGGCCAGGCAGGCGCTGGGATTAAGTCGGGCCTGTCCCCCTACAGGGGGATTTTCGACGAAGTACTCCGACGGAAGGACCCCACATGAGAGTCCTCTGGGCGAATCTGGAAAAAGCCCTCACCGTCGTCCTCGTGGTTGGTGAGGAGTCCTGGCTGTCTCTTCTGCGTATATTTCTTCTCGCCCTGGCGCGGGCCCTCCCCCCGCTCCCTACGTTGCCCCCGACCTCGCCCTCCTGTTTTGGCTCCGGACATTCAGAAAGTGGCCCGGGAGTGGTGTTCTGGGAACACGAAGAACACGAAGTGACCTACAGTTGGCTCCGGGCATTCAAAATGTAGCCCGGGAATGGTGTTCTGGGAGCCCGAAGAACACGAAGTGGCCTACATTTGGCTCCGGGCATTCAAAATGTGGCCTGGGAATGGCGTTCTGGCAGCGCGAGGGCCCAAAAGTGGAGACAGTTATAGGAATTGGATGACCCGCTCGGATTAGTAACATGATCCGCGGGCAGGGAGGGGGCTCCCGCTTGAGACTACCTCGCAATTCACTCACAGACGAGGCCCAAGGCGAGTGAGTGAGTGAGTGAGTGAGTGACTGACTGACTTGTGATGATGATGATGATCATCACACTCCCTCACGCGCACACTCATCATCATCATCATATGTGAGTTCATGAGCGTGTGAGTGAGTGAGTGCTGATGAGTGAGTGAGTGAGTGAGTGAGTGAGTGAGTGAGTGAGTGAGTGAGCTAGTGAGTGAGTGAGTGAGTGAGTGAGCGCACGAAGACAGAAGAGGAGAGGGGGTGAGGTGAGGAGGTTCCTGTGCGGGGTGTCCAGAGAAAACAAGAACCCCACTTTGGATGTGGGGAAAAATAGAACATACCCCAAGAACAGTCCAACAATAGTCTGGGGACTATTTTTTCAGTATTGTTTTGCCTTTTTGGGATATGGTTGGGGTATTTTTTATTGTTCGTCGAAGATCCCCCTGTAGGGGGACAGGCCCGACACAACGCTAGGAGAAGGATGGATCGCTCCAGAGCGATTCGGAGCGCTCTCTGCGCATGCCAGGGCGCCCTGGGACGTCCGCCGCGCCCGACACATCCTCAGAACCGCTGGGGGCCCAGAGATCCCTGGCGCATCCAGGCCCGAAGGCTGTTCCAATGTTGCCTTCGCCTTGCTGGGGTAGGTGGTGGAGGAGAAGCAGGCACACACACAAACACACACACACACACACACACACACATTTTCACACACACACACACACACACACACGCGCGCGCGCGCACCCATGGCCCTCCGCACGAGTGGGAAAGGCCTGCTCAGGGTTCACGCGCTGACACATCATCTTCGAAGCATCTCGAAATTTTCCCGGGATCACATCCTTTCCAGAACCTCCTCCCGCTCTGTATCCTCTTCCCTCCATTCCCCGTAAATCGACCTCCCCGGTCCCAGGATTTCGAGGCGGGCCCAGCAATTTCCCAAGAGGAACGAACGAACCAGGCCCGACGGAATGCTCCTTTTGTGTCCCTCTGCCGCCCCAATCCTGCCCCCCCCCCGCCGCGCCGCCCGAAGCTGAAGCAGCGCTTCCTCCTCGCGGGCAGCGAGGACGACCTGGACGAGGCGCTGAAGCAGCGCTTCCTCTTCGCGGACTCGGCGCAGGCTCACCGCTGCTGCCGCTGCCTTTGGACGCCTTTGGCCCCTGCTCGGCCTTCCAGGCACTTCTGGATAGAGCCCTGAGGGTCTCTGGAGGTCTCTGGAGACTGGCGGCTGCTCTCTTGCCTCTGAGACCCTTGGCTGCTCCTGCTGCTTTCACTGCCACTGCTGCTGCCGCTGCTGCTGCAATTCGTGCTGCTGCTGGTGCTGTTTCTGTGATCCAGCTGCGCGCTCAAGCCCCGGTGGCTGTCCCAGCGCATCAGGGATGAGGTTGATTCTGAGCCCGCCTGAGCTGGCACGGGTCTGGAAAAGCTTCTGTTTGTCCGCAGCCTGGTTATTCTCTTACTTCCTCCTTCCCCCCCCCCGCCCGTTTTGAAAGCACTCTCTTGGGGACCAGTTCGGGGCCGTCTTGGGCGAAATGTGTCGACCGAGCTCTCACGCAGAGGCTCGGGCCGTGTGAACGCTGGGCAAGCGTGAGGCAACTTTTGGGCCCCCGTGGGCCCATCTTGGGGCCTGCTCTCCTTGGGCGATCAAAACCCGACGAGACTCGGAAGCAGCAGCGCACGCATGCTCCAACGGTGTCGTCCTTGCTATTGGGCAGGGCCTGACGCGACGAGGATGTGGAGCTGGCCTTTGATGAGATACAGAAGCCTTTCGCAGATAGCCAGCAAGCCTTCTAACATTCATTCCACTATCGCGCAGGCACGGTTGGGGGCATCTCGGACGCTTGGGGGGTTTTGGGGGCAGTTGTTACGGGAGAGGCTCCCAGAGCCCTTTCGGTGTCCCCCTCGCGCCTCTCGTCGGGTTGTTTGGATGCCGCTTGGCCCGTCTTGGGGGCCTCCCGAGCCTTATTTGCGATCTCTTGGGCAGTACTGCGGAGGTCTTGAGGTCCTCATGGTCTCTCTTCGAGAGCTGGGAACCCGAAAACGGAGCGAACGCCAACATCGCGCATAAACAGTCGAAGACAACGACTTGGATGTCTGGGCGTCGCCGTTCGGGGACCATCCTAGAGTCCTCTTGGGGCGACGCAGGGGCCTCCTGGGGGTCCTGAGGCCTCAGCTTGCCACCTCGGAGCGCTGTCGGCTCGCTTCGGGGCCCTCACCGCCCTGGCCCCTCCTCGGACGCTCCTGGTCCGTCCTGGGGCTTCCTGAAGTGCTGCGAGCCCGTGTGGCGGGACGCCCGGGGACCCCCTGGGAGAGCCAGCCACTGCGGCTCCGGGCCCCTCCTCTATGTTGGGGGCGTCCACGAGCGGGGCGAGGACCCGGGCCCGGAGTGTGTGGATCTTGGCATCGCTCGGACGGGTGCACTTTTTCTCGGCGAGAACCATCGAGGACCATCCTGGACCATCGAGCGGAAAAGACGCGCACGAAACCGAACACTGCACGGGAAGTGGACGTCCGAGCGACGGCAAGTGGATGCCATGCCCGGGGCCATGAGTCGGAGGTGGACAGACCTCCTACCCTGACACGTCGATTGATGAATTGGCCGTTTTCGGTTCGCGAGAGGGCGTCGCGGCCGCCATTTGTGCGGGTCCAGGTCCGTCGGTGTCGGTCCCAGGCCGTGTTCACCAAGGGGAGGTCTACTAAAGGGAGTTTTGTCCATCGCCGAATGAGATCTGCCCGGATTTCCCGCACCCCCTTTCGTATGTCAGCACGTCCACTGGCCCCCAGTGGGCCGCGCACGTGCCTCAGAGCCATGATTTCCGACCCCCCCTCTTTGGACGCCCCCGAGTAAAGAGTACCCACCCTCTGAGGAGGAGGAGGAGGAGGAGGTGGAGGTGGAGGCGGAGGAGGAGGAGGAAGAGGAGGAGGAAGAGGAGGAGGAGGAGGGGGGAAGGGAGCAAGCTTGGTGCGCTCGCGTCATAGCTGACGTCCTACTCCTCCCTCCCATCCCTCACCATGGCGAAGATATCCTCTGTATTCGCACATTCGGATGCCGAGCAGGGCAATGATCGAATGGTAGAGCACGGCATGGCATGGCGTAGAAGAGCACGGCAGAGTGTAGCATGCCATAGTATGGCGTGGCATTTCGCAGTGAAGCATTACATCACAAAACAGTGCGACGCAAAGCATGGCATCGCACAGCGGCGCGGAACACAGCACCACACACCATGTCATGGCATGGCGCCAGGATCTTTTGAGGGTAAGTGGATCGTCTTCGAGAGGTCTGGGCCAGTCTGGAGTCGTGGATCCATGTCTAACTCCTTGTGCCCCCCGACAAGCTCCACACAAGGCGCGGCTGATGGAGAGCACCCGCTGGCCCTGCTGCCAACATCGCCTGCTCAAAGCGGAAACGGGGCTCCCGCTATCATTGATACGTCCTGAAAGCGATGACGCCCCAGAGGGGGCTTCTGCGACCCAAAAAATAAACGAATGGACACCGAATGTGCAATCAGTTCCGATGTTTTTTTCGGGGGGGGGGCCTTTTCTAGATTTAAGGGCCTTGGAAGTAAGGCCAGCGCTGCAGCGGGAGCGCGATTCGGAACGAGCAGAAGCGCGGAAATGAGGCCAGCGCTGCAGCGGGAGCACGCTTCGGAACGTTCGGAAGCCCGAAAATGAGGCCAGCGCTTCAGAGGGAGCAACGTCCTGAAACAAAAACCCAGCGAACACCCAATTCCCGGGAACCGTGTGTGTAAAAAACAATACTCGGAATGAGGCCGGATATCTGGATGTCATCAGTGGAAAACGGAGAGTAGTATTCATATTGTGTAATTGGCGGGGGAGGGGTAGGGGAAGGAGGAGGAGGCAAGTGTTGTAAGCCCAAGGCGCATCAACGTTGTTGAAATTGAATTCCTCTCTCCAACGTTCCACTTTCTATGGCCCTAGGAGAATTTATCCGTACGGGCTTCGCCCCCATGCCGCCGGCCCCCCTCTCTTCGAATGGGACTTGCCAGCGCTGTGTTGGGATGTCTGGACGCTGACGTGAAGCAATGTCGGGACTTCACGCGAGGGCAAATTTTAATTTACGATGGTTTGTGGCTCCGGTGACGCGAACATTAAGTAATTTACGATGGCTTATGGTTTCGGGGACGCTCATATTGTATATAATCAGAGTGAGGGGGCTGAACCGAACGGTCATTCACTGTCCCTGGGTGCGTGGCTGAGGTGGAATTCCGCGATGCGGATTATTGTTGTTGTTCTTGTTTGTTGTTTGTTGTTTGTTGTCGTCGTCGTCCCACCCGCGACCCGCCCCGCGACCCACCCGCGACCCACCCCGCGACCCACCCGCGACCCACCCGCGACCCACCCCGCGACCCACCCGCGACCCACCCGCGACCCACCCGCGACCCACCCCGCGACCCACCCGCGACCCACCCGCGACCCACCCGCGACCCACCCGCGACCCACCCCGCGACCCACCCGCGACCCACCCGCGACCCACCCCGCGACCCACCCGCGACCCACCCACGACCCAACCGCGACACAACCGCGACCCACCCGCGACCCAACCGCGACCCACCCCGCGACCCACCTAAAATGTTCGGCGCCGGCGGCGGGTTTCTTTTGCATCCGTTCCAGGTGGAGAACCTGCGACCCACCCGCGACCCAAACCGCGTTCAGTGTACACATCGAAATTGTGGGCGCCTGTCGCGGGCTGTTTTTGAATTCCTTCCAGGTGGAGGTGGAGAGCCCGCGACCCACCCGCGACCCAAACTACGTTTACTGAACAAGTCAAAACTTTGGCGCCTGCGGCGGGTTTCTTTTGCATCGGCGACCCACCCTGAGACCCACCCGCGACCAACCCCGCGACCCACCCGCAAACCACCCGCGACCCAACCGCGACCTAACCGCGACCCACCCGCGACCCACCCGCGACCCACCCGCGACCCACCCCGCGACCCACCCCGCGACCCACCCAAAATTTTCGGCGTTTGCGGCGGGTTTCTTTTGCATCCGGTCCAGGTGGAGAACCTGCGACCCACCCGCGACCCAAACCGCGTTCAGTGTACAAATCAAAAGTTTTGGCGCCTGCGGCGGAGGAGGAGGAGGAGGAGGAGGAGGAGGAGGAGGGCGCCATCGACGGGGAAGGTGAGGGCCACGAGGTCCGCCGGCTCGACGCCCGCGTCGCCCGCGCCCGCCCCCTCACTCTTCTCCGCAATTGCGGGGTGCTACGTATTGCATACTTTACGAATGTGTGTGTGGCCTCGGGGACGCGAAAAGTTGCGCAATTCATCAAAAAAGTGTATGGTCTCGGGGGCGTAACTATTGCATCATACACGAGGGTTTACGACCCTGGCAACGCGAACATTATGTAACTTGCGAGGGTTGGTGGCCTCAAGGGCGCAAGAATGGTGTAATGTACAAGGGTTGGTGGCCTTGGGGGCGCGAAGATGGTCTCGGGGGCGCGAATATTCCGCAATTGAAAGGTTGATGGTGTCGTTTCGGGGGCGAAAAGATAGAGTATGTTAAAGCTTGGATGGCTCCTGGGAAGCGAACGTTGTATAATTGATCCAGGACTATGGCTTCGGAATCGCGATTATCATGTAATTCACGAGGGTTGATGGCCTCGGGGACGCGAATATGGCGTAACTTAATGGGGAGTATGACTTCGGGGATGCGAATCCATAGTTTCACGTGTACCACGACCCCCTGTGAATTCAGACAACGCGAATTGGAGACGCTAGCCATGACGTTTTTCGGTTCCCCCCCTTCGCGCGTTCAGCGGCAATTGACAGTAAGGAAGCAGAAAGCAGGACTGGAACTGTGGAAACTGAAAGCTGCACCTGGCACAGGGAGCTGCAAGCCGAATCTTCGCAACCCGATGACCCCACAAAGGGGCCTGCGGATTTCCGTTGCGGGAAATTCCCGTCCGGAAAACAATTGTGTCAGAAGCATCAACCGCGCCAAATCACACGTCTTGGTAATTCAGCGTTGCGAATCATTCCAGCTGCTCGTCCGAAAATCCTAAACCGTGCCATAACACAGCTCCTTGAATTGCATCGCTACGAACTAACATGACTTCTGCGCTTGACAATCCTACATCTTCCAGAAGCACCAGTCCTGGGCCTTCGACCACGCGAATCCTTGAAACGGTTGCAAACTGTTAAAACGCATGTGCGCGGCGCAAAAGCGAGAGCCACACTTTGAAAACCAGCACCCCTTTCATGCTTGTGAATGCTACAAGCTGTCCAACAGAATGCGTGCGGCGCTGAGGCGACAGCCACAGTTTGAAAAATACCCGCCCTCGATACGCAAAATTGCTGTAAACTTGTAAGACAAATGCACGCGGCGCCAGGCGGGAACCACCTGGTGAAAAACCACCCGAATTCAATGTGTGAAACTGCAAATGTGCGGCGATAAGGTGAAGGTCCGATTTTGAAAACCACTCGCCCTCCATCCTTGAATTTGCTGCATGCGTTAATCTAGTACGCGCGGCGCTTAGGCGCGAGCCACATGCTGAAAACCACCCGCCGTCGACCCGTGAAGCTGATGCGAATTGTGAAGGGAGGAGGAGGACAAGGGATGGAGGAGAGGGTCGCGCGAAAGGACAAGGGATGGAGGAGAGGGGGGAGGAGGAGGAGGAGGAGGAGAGGAGGAGAGGAGAGGAGGAGGAGGAGGAGGAGGAGGGAGAGGAGGAGGAAGAGGAGGAGAGGAGGAGGAGGAGGAGGAGGGGAAGGAGGAGGAGGGGGGCGGGGGAGAAGGGAGTGGGGGGGGGGAGGGGGGAGGGGGGGGACGACGACGGCAACGAAGAGGAGGCGGATCATCCTCCTGGCCGCCCCCCGCAGCTGGCGTCTCAGCCCTCCGACTGCGCCGCCTCCAGCGCATCCTCTGGCTTCGGCCCGTGAGGGCCGCGCGGCCAGCGCCCGTTTCGGGCTAGGAGGAGGAGGAGGAGGAGGAGGAGGTGGAGGAGGAGGAGAAGGAGGAGGAAAGGAGGAGGAGGAGGAAGAGTGGGAGGAGCAGGATGGGGAGGAGGAGGGGGAGGAGGAGGAGGAGGAGGAGGAGGAGGAAGGAGAGGAGGAGGAGGAGGACGACGAGGACGACGAGGAGGAGGAGGAGGAGCACGAGGAGGAGGAGGAGCACGAGGAGGAGAGCAAGATGAGGAGGAGCAGGAGGAAGAGGAGGACCGCCCGCTGCCTCGAGGCAGCGCAGGCACTGTATGGCATGCATCCGCGTGCAGGTGAGGGGGCACGCTGACACACCCTCCGGCCGCCGTCGAAGCGCGTCAGGGGGAAGGCCGCTGCTCGCTGCCCCCACGGGCGGGCATCGATGAACCGCGCAGCCACACAGCCGCACACGTGGGAATTCCGCGCGGATCTCTGCGGTCGGCGCGGGGGCCCTCGTGCCCCCCGTAAAACAGAGCTAGGATCGGGATAAATCGATCCAGAGCGTTCCGGAGCGCTCTCAGAGCGTTCCGGAACGCTCTGGAGCGGCCGCGGCGCCCAATACATCCTCCAAACCCGCCGATTCTCAGAGATTTCGAGTTATCCCGATCCGATTTTGTCCCGATCTTCGCGTCGTTTTACCCCGACCCCCTCCCCCGCAGCATCGACTCGACTCGTTTTCGGTGGCTTCCGGTACCGCTTCGATTCGATTCAGGATTCCGATCCGGGCTCGTATGCCTCAATGGAGGCTTCAGTGGCTTGCCGGTTGCCGCCGATTCGACTCCTCCCGATTTGTGCACCGATGTCCGCCCATCCGATTCAGTTCGATCGCCGATCCAATTTACCGATTCGACCCTGGGCTCGCCTGCCCTCGTGCTCTCGTGGGCCGAGGGCACAGGGTTGAGAAAAGGTTCGCAGCTCCGTGCTGAGCTCCGACAGTGTCCTGGCATCGCTCGGACGTGTGCAGTTTTTCGGCGAGGCCCCAGGAGCATATTTGATCGCTTTGCGAAAAAATGCACGCACGATCTCGAAAAATGCACGGGGAATGGACGTCCGAGCGACGGCCAGGTGTGTGATTGTGCCGTCTGTCGTTCCGCAGGCGACGGGGGCGCGAGGAGGTTCGACGTTCGAGGCTCGAGGGTCACAGATCGTGTGGCTGCTGCGCTTCTGCTGTGCGTGCCCCGATTTCGGCCTCGAGTGGCGTCCGGAGGCCTTCGAGGTTCTTGGAGGCGAATTGAGTGCGGCCAAGTTTTCTTGCATGGCGTCCGTCACTCCCTCCTGCGCCGCCCTTTTGACCCAAGCTGCGAAAGTAGAAGAAACATGCAAGAGAGCTCGGATCTGCGTGTACCTGGATTGCCTCGAGGACTCGCCAGGCCACCCCCCCTCCCCCCCTGCATTCGAGCAAGCCTTCCAGAGCCCACAGAGGATCAGTCTCCTGCAGAGTGCACCGCCGAATCGCCACAACTCTTCCAGCCCCACTGCGCTCGCACCTCCGCGTCCTGGCGACGCGCTTCGACTGCGGCCGGCGATGGGGCGAGCGCGGGCCAGCCGCTGTCCGTGGCGGGTTCCTCGCCGGTTTAATCCTGGCACCCGGGGGGGCGGGTGCGAGGCGTCTGTGGCACCGAGCCGCCGCGCTGGGTGAGCGCGCGAGCGAGGAAACGGTGCGCGCGCGGGCGATGGAGGGAGAGGAGCGGAGAGAGAGGAGGGAGGAGGAGGAGAAGGGGGAGGAGGAGGAGGAGGAGGAGGAGGAGAGGAGGAGGAGGAGGAGGAGGAGGAGGAGGAGGAGGAGGAGAGGAGGAGGAGGAGGAGGAGGAGGAGGAGGAGGAGGAGGAGGAGGAGGAGGAGGAGGAGGAGGAGGAGGAGGAGGAGGAGGAGGAGGAGGAGGAGGAGGAGGAGGAGGAGGAGGAGGAGGAGGAGGAGGAGGAGGAGGAGGAGGAGGAGGAGGAGGAGGAGGGGAGGAGGGGGAGGAGGAGGAGGAGGAGGAGGAGGAGGAGCTGGGAATCACCGTTATTGCTGCGTCTTGACGATCCTGGATCGCGCCAGAACACCATTCCTGGGACTTCGACAGCGCGAATCAACGTGACTGTTGCGCCCTGACATTCCACATCGTACCAAAATAGCATTTCTGGGACGCTAACCATGAGAATCCTTGAAACCCCTGCAAGCTCTTAAGACGAATGTGCGCGGCGCTTAGGCGAGAGCCACGTCTTGGAAACGGACCGCCCTCCATCCGTGAAACTCTTGCTACTTAGACGCGTGTGCGCGGCGCTAAGGCGAGAGCCACATATTGAAAACGGACCGTCCTCCATCCGTAAGACTCTTGCAAATTACAAGGTTCAGGATCACATGTGGTGAGGGATTCTTAGGCGAGACATCCGGCCCGCCACTTCGACCAGCCTCGGGGTGCGACAGGAGGGAGTTATGCATGAGGGACAGGAATGGAGGAGGAGGAGGAGGAGGATGAGGAGGAGGAGGGATGAGGCGGAGGTGAAAACGAAGAAACGGCAGTACTTGGACGAAGCAGTCTCCTGAAGAAGAAGTGCTTCATGGGCTTAATTGACATGGGCCGGTCTCCCCCTCCCTCTTCCTTCCCCATGCTCTTGGCGTCCCCTCCCCTCCTCATCATCTGTTATGATCGTCCTCTTCCTATGGCCGCCTCCTGGCCTTCTTGGCCGTCTGAGCGCATTCTGCGCCGTCCTCGGGGCCCTTCTGAGGCCGTCTGGTGGCCCACCATGGCCAGTCTTCCTGCTGTCTTCGGCTCCTCCAGAGCTCCAGAGAGAGAGGTCCGCTTGGGCCGTCCTGGGGCCATCTTGGGTCCCTTTTCGGGTTCTGCTTGGGCCCGTCGACGACGGCGATAACGACATCGACATGGACGAAGATGACGGCGGGCGGCGGCGACCGCGACTGCGGCGGGGACGACAGGATCGAAGACGAAGGCCACGGCGACGACGATGACGACGACGGCGACGACGATGACGGCGACGGCGAACACCACGACGACGGCGACCACGACGACGGCGGCGACCACCACGACGGCGGCGGCGACGCCGACGGCCACGCCGCCTCCCCCCGCGCGCGCCAAACCCGAGCGGGAAGAGGCTCCCGCCCAGGGCCTCCGCGCGCGACGCCCGCGCTCCCCGCCGTCCGCGCGCGAGCCGCCAGGCGACCGCCGCCGCCGGCAGCTGCCACCGCGCCACCGCCGCCGCCTCCCCAGAAGTCCGGGTGGGAAGGCTTCTCAGAGCCCCGAATCATCAGGGCTAACTCGGGTCAGGGCTAACTCGGGTTCCTTTTTCGGGATTCCGAACCCGACTTACCCAGGACCCGAGTTACCCCGGATAATTCGGGCGCCCAGAACCCCGAATCATCAGGGGTAACTCGGGTCAGGGCTAACTCGGGTTCCTTCTTCGGGAATCCAAGCCCGAGTTACCCCGGACCCGAGTTGCCCCGGACAACTCGGGCGCCCAAGCTTCGGGCTGCGCACAGACAGCTGCCCGAGGTTGTCCTGACTGGCCTCCAGGGCCCCTCGAGCAGCCCCAGCGGGCCTCAGCAGGCCCCGGCAGCAGTCTGGGCCTGTATCCACACCCTTTGGGCGCTGCGTAATGGGGGATCATAAATGGGGGGGGCGGCGAGTGTGGTCCGAAAAGGTACCCAAGTGGTACCTAAACGAGCCCCCTGGGGCTCTGGAGGGGCCCGAAAGGGGCACGAAAGGGGACCTTTTCTGACCCCCCCATTTGCGACCCCCCCATTAAGCCACGCCCAAACCCTGGCGCCACCTGCGGCGGCGCCCCTGAGGCGCTTCGTGCCCCAGGATTGGGGTGCTGAGGTCGCCTCCTCGGGGATCCGGGGCGGCTCCGAGAAAATTGCAGTGGCCTTTTTGGGGGGCGATGTTCGGCCAGGTTTCGACCGAAACAATGGTTTGGCGATTACGTGGGCCGTTCTCCGTGTTGATTCCGTGTTGCAGCCCAGGCGCAACGAAGATAGAATTATGGTTAAGTCGGGTCTGTCCCTCTACAGGGGGAGCATTCAAAAATAGTCAAAAGATAGTCGGGGGACTATTTTTAGACTATTTTTGGACATGTTTTGAGCATGTTTGGTGTATTTTTCATGTTTCGCCCAACGTTCCCCTGTAGGGGGACAGGCCAGACTTAAAACTATAGGAAACGAAACCAACACGAAATGGGAAAACACTGTTCAGGAGGAGCCTTGTCTTCGGCCTCCGGGGGCCCCCAGTTGGGGGGCCACGTGCGAACCCTACCCCGCCCTCCCCCTCAGAGATCGTGGAGGGCAGGGGCAGGGTTCGCACGTGGCCCCCTGTCCATGGTAGGGGGAACGAAGAATGACATAAACGTAAAAGCTCGGAGGTCCGCGCGGATTTCTCGGATTGGCGCTGCATTCTTCGTTCCCCTACCATGGGCCCCGGGGGCCGTCGAAAGACGACTCGGGATGAGAGGCCGGCCCCAGAGGGAAGTGGTCCAGGCCTCCAGGGGTCCCGCCGCCGATCCCTGGCCTCACCGCTTCGAAGTACAGTGGAGGCTCATGCCAAGAAGCACCCTGCTTACCTCCAGGGTGCCCTGGGTTTCCTGGAGAGCGTGACGTTCCCACACCAAAAATCAGTGGACGACCCAGGTCTCGGGGTCGGGCTTCTTGTGGAATGTTTCTCGTGGACTGGCCTCCACCACTGTACGTCGAAATGGCGTGAGCCTGTCTGTTGGAGGCCCGCGCGGATTTCTCGGATCGGCGATGAGGCTGCCTTGGCGGCGCCCTCAGCGCCGGTCATGGCGCGCTCCGCTGGCCAGGGAGGTACAGTGCCGTTTTTAATACATGCTCCGCGTGCGGATCATGTATTAAAAATGCAGGGATCTAGTATGAAAAACAACAATGCGTTCATGCATAACTTTACTCATACATCAGTCATGCATTAAAAATCCTATATGGCTGAAAATCCTATGTATTAAAAACTGCCCTGTATGGTCCAGCGCCGATCCACGAACTCCGCGCCGACCTTCGAATGTTCACGTTTATGCCGCTCTTTCTTGTTGCAGCCTCGCAGCCGACCCCAGCTTCGCCGTCGCCGCTGCCAGGCAGGCAGCTATCCAGATCCACTGCCAGTATAATCGATCTTCGGGGGCCTGGGCAGTGGCCAGACATGGACACATTCGAGCGCCAGGCGGGCCAAGTATGTCCACGTCCACCGCAAGATCGATCCCCCAGGCGGTTGCTATGGATAAATCCCCGCCTCGCAGCCGCCGCGTCGCCGACGCCGCCGTCCCCACTGCGACGTCCCGTTCTGTCGCCGGCGCCGACGGCGCCTGACCACTTGCGCAGCCGCCAGCGCCGCCGCCCTCGCCGTCGCTGCCGCCGCCGTCGACGTCGCCGCCGCCGTCCTCAGTGCGTCGTCACACGGCGTTCTGATCCGGGGATCCTTCCGCGCAAGGCTTCGGGGTTTCTCCAAAGGTGGCACGTTCCGCCCGTAGAAACAGCCGCCGCCGTCCACGCCGTCACTGCCATCGCCGCCGTCGTCGCCATCGTCGTCGTGGCCGCCGTGTTGCTGCAGCGGCTCGAGGATTGAGCATTTAGCGCTAGAAGCGTTTCTCAAATCCGGGCCAGTGGCCCTTTTGGGCCCGTTCGGGTCCCGGATTTGTGAGCAGTCGGTCCAGGATGGGAAACCGGCTAGTGTTGACCCCACGAGGGTTTGGAGATGACGGGGACAGAAGGGAGGAGTGTGGTGACGTTTACCCGGCCGGCCAATTCAGTTCTTCTTGCCAGTGTTTTTTTACTTCTTCTGGGATGTTGTTGTAAATAAAGCCGTTGGTCAATCTCCGCCGCGTGCCGCTTCGGAGTGCACAGAGGACTCGATAGCTGTTGCGTTCGTCCACAAAAAAAGGGAGTGCTGGAGACGTCGTAGACCGCTGCAGAAGATCGTCGCCGCCGCCGTCGCTGTCGTCGTTGCCCTCGCCGCCGACGCCGCCATCGCTGTCGTGGCTGCAACAGCCGTCACAGTCGTCGCCATCGTATTGGTCGCCGTCATCGTAGTCGTCTCTGCTTCGTTGTCCCTCCCAACCCCTCCAGGTCATCGCCGAAAACATCAAGAAACATCCGAGAGTGTCTGATAACCTCGTCGTTGACGTCGCCGCCGCCGTTGTCGCTGCCGTCGTCTTCTCCCTCCTCCCTCATCCCCCTCATCATCCCTGATACTCGTCTCTTCTGCTCCCGCATCTTGCTTCTTTCCCTCCCTCATCTTCTGCCCTCCGCATCCCGTTCTTCCGTTCAGCGCCCTGCCGTATTGGTAACCCCAGTGCACCCGAGGTAGTAGATGCACCGTGGCCCGACCAGATAGTTCGAGCGGGCAAGCATGTCTTTTAAAGACACCTTCACCAAGGCTGGCCGCCCTCTTTGAGGGGCGGAGGGGGAAGGACGAGTGGCGAGGATGACAAGGCGAAGGGCAATGACACAGGAGGGCAATGAGGAGAGGCGGAGGAACATCCGAGACGGCTATTTGTTCATAGCCACCGCTTGCGGGATCGATCTTCGGGGACCTCGGCAGGCGGTGGAGATCGATATAGTCGGGCCCTGGGGGCATTTAATTCATGTGTATATATATGTGTATATATAAATGTATCGCCTGCCGAGGTCCCCGAAGACCGATCCCCCAGGCGGCTGTTCTGCATACATCCCCGCTCGCGTACGAGCAGGAACAGTGGGGGCAGAAGGATGGGGCCCCGCCATTTGCCCTTTTCTCGGGGCCAGTAGTTCAAGCTGGGTTGTTTTTGCTGACTGCGCGGGGGCCTGAAGCCAACCTCCACGGGTCAAACATCTGGAGAAAGTTGCCGCCTCGATGTTTGCTCGAGCCGCCAGGGATTTGTGGAGGAGGGTTTTGGGACATGGACCGTTGCAGAGCAATTGAAACAGCCACCACCAAGGGGCGACCGCGAGGCAGAGTGCACACGATCGGTAGCTGAAGACGAGATCGAGGCCCACGCCAGCCCTTTCGGGGCCCCGTTTGGGGCTTCCTTCGCCACATTGGAGCCACGTTGGGGCCCAACAAGCCCATCGGAAGCGAACCGGCGAGGAGGACAAAACCACAGATTCCCCATAAGTTGTTGAATGAATCTGGACAGTCGGGGGCATTCGTGGGAGTCTCCGAGGCCACTCGGAGCCGCATTGGCGCGGTGTTGCATACCGGAGGCTACCTTGAGCCATCCTGAACTAGAGTGTGCCATCTTTGAGGCCATCCTGGGCTATTTGGAGCCCTCTCGGAGCTATCGTGGGCCATTTCGGACCCGTTGGTCGCTCACGACCCCCCCCCGTCCAGGCAGGGGAGGGAGTAGGGAGAGGGATCAAGACACCCTCCGCACGCAAGCCGTCTAGCTCACTCCCACCCGCCCTCCCACCACAGAAGTGGCATCCGAGTCTCGGCATAGCCAGGGGTCGCCACTGGATGGACAGCCACTGGGATCCAAAGCGGACGCTAGGTGCGCGACGCTCGCCGCGGGCTCCACATGCGGTTGGTGTGCCATCCTTGTAAAAAAACGTGATGCCCCCAGGTCCGGACGGTCCAGATGCTGATGCGGGGGGCGTCAGCATTGTTCTGGGCTTGCGCGCAGCAAGCATCACCATGCGGGCACCACCGCCGTCCGTGTCAAAAAACAGTACACAGTGATCGCGGGTGGCCAGCACAATACCCACGACGTTGTCGCAACGTGCATGTTGCATTGTTTTTGACACGGATGGTGGTCCTACACAAAGCGGCTTCACTAATGGTGGGCCGCCATCTTTGTCGAAAAACAATACAAGGTGCTCACAGGGCGCCAGCGAACTGTCCAGATGTTTGTTGCAATGTGCACTTTGTATTGTTTTGTTGACAGGATTGTGGAGGGTGTCGACAGGGTGGGCCCCACAATGTGCATGTTGTACTGTTTTTTGACAGGGATGGTGTGGGGGGTGCCCGCATGGTTCCGGGTGTGGCTACCAGCCAGGTGGGGGAGGGGGTGTTTACTTAGCATCGCTCGGACGTGTGCATTTTTCCTTCGGCGAGGACCATCGAGGAGTATCCTCGATCACTTGGCGAAAAGACCACGCACGAAACCGAAAAGAACACAGGGAATGGACGTCCGAGCGATGGCAAGTTCATCAACAGGGAACTGTAGTCAAGTTAGCTAGGTTGAGCGAGTCAGAGGGCCCCGCCTGTTCCCACCTTCCCCCCCCCAACACAGGATCCATTGCAGCACACTGGCACTGGAACGCGCCCCCACCTCGAAGACAGACGGCGCTCTCGCGCGGCCCCGCGTCCGACGACGTGGCGAAAAGAGTAACACTTCCTCCTCCCCCTCCTCCCCCTCCTCCTCCTCCTCCTCCTCCTCCTCCTCCTCCTCCTCCTCCTCCTCCTCCTCTTCCCCCCCCTCCTCCTTGGCGGGACGCGGAGGGGCGGGAGCGGCAACACTTCCGATGGCTGCGGCGACGACGAGGCATGCGCCGCGCGGACGCAGCACTGCCACTCTCACCCGCGATCTGCGCGGCGCTCGGGCGAGGTCGGCCTTCCGCCCGCCCTCGCGCGCGGCCCCGGCGCCGCCGCCGCTGCCACACGACCCGGCGGACGAGCCACGCGCCGCGCCCGCGCGGGACCGCCCCCTCGCCGAGTGCGATGCGCACGGAGCTTTTGGGGGCGAGGGCGGCAAGTCGCCCACTCGCGCGGGCCCCACGGCACCGGGCCACGGCGGGAGCACCACTTCCGGGCGAAATCCGCGCGGCGCCTGGGCGAGAGGCACCCTGGTCGCCCGCCCGCGCGTCGATGAGGTGGCGGTTGAGAAACGCACGCCGCGGCCCAGCGGGAGCTCAACTCTCTGTAGACAATGGAGCGCGGCGCCGAGGCGAGAACGCCATTTCGGCCTTGCGCGCGGGATGGGCGCCGCCTCGTCGGTCCTGCCACGCATTGAACAACATGGACGACACACTGCCCGCGCTGAGACGAGCAACATCGATGTTGCTGCTTTTGCTCTGACAGTAGGATGGGACCCCCCGGATGGGTTTGCTACCAGCCGGCTCGGTGGCAGAACGGGGGTCAAATAAGGGAGAAGGGTAAAAAATATGCCCCCAAAGGGGAAACACGCTGATCGGACAAACGAATTCTTCAAATCACCGACGCCCCAACTAAATGGTGGTATTTTCGCGGACCTCCAGAAGTTTATGATTGTGCAGTTTGTCACGTCATGTTGATTGGAGAGGCCTTACGGCTGGCGCCGCCGACCCTGAACGACGACGACAACGACGACGACGACGACGACGATGCTGACGTGTGTCAGAGTCCTCAGGGATTGTTACTTGGGTCTCTTTGGAGCGCTCTGGGAGGCCACTGGGGATTAGTTGTGGGGCCTCTTGGGGGCCTGTTGGGAGGCTCCTGGGGGCTTCTTGGGCTTTTCGGGCGCCTGGCGCCTCTTGGCGGGCGTCTGGGGGGCTTCTTGGCGTTTCCTGGGAGCCTCTCAGGCCGAGGGCTCGAAATGTCCGTTCGGGTCCCCCGTCTGGACGCTCTTGGAGCCGTTTTGGGGGCCTCTTGGGCCGTCTTGAAGGCCTCTTGGACCGTCTTGGTGCGCTTTTCGGTCGTTTTGGGCCCTCTTGGAGGCCTCTTACCCCATCTTGAGGCGATCCGGAGGCCCCCTTGGGCTGTCTTGGAGTGTCGGGAGGCCGAAAAGGCGAGACTCCCATAATCCCATAATCTACCAAACATCTGCGGAAAGTCAATGTTGTTTGCCTCGTAGTGCTTTGGGAGGCCTTTTGGGGCGTCTTGGAAACCTCTTGGGCCGTCTGGAGGCCACTTTGGCGTCTTGGACCAGTAGTTCGGCGATTCGGTGCCCTCTGAGACCGTCTTGGACCCTTCCTAGGGCAGTCTTGGTTTGTCTTGACGGGTTTAGGGGGCTTTGGGACCCCCCAAGGGAGGGGTGGCATTTTGATCCGGGACTTGCCCCGGGTCCCCCCCCCACCGACCCCCCACAAGACCCACCCCTGCCGCGGGGAAAAAATCAAAGGGAAGGGTTTTCCCTTCGACTAACTACGACGTTGCTGGTTAATTTCGCTTTGGCTGGCGCGCTCGAGGAGGAGGGCCCAGGGAAAGGGGGCGAGCGGCGACGACAACGACGAACAGAAGAGCGCCTTCCACACCCCGGCGGTGTCGGCGCATTCTTCTTATTATCATTATTCGCATTATTAGTCTTCGTAGTCTGATTGTTGTGACTACCATTCGTGATATCAGTATCTGTAGTAGTATTGTTAGCACGATGAGTCGTATTAGTATCATTCGTATTGTCATTCTTACTGATACCATTATTACTTATAGTAATTTTGGTATTAGTACTTACATTCGTATTATTAGTATTGTTGTTTTTCGTCCTATTCTACTCGGCGGCGAGCCTACGGGGTTTGGGGGGCACCACCCCGCACGCGACGAAGAGGGGAGGAGGAGGAGGATGATGAGGAGGAGGAGGAGGAGGAGGAGGAGGAGGAGGAGGAGGGGGGAGTGAGATGGGACAGGCCTGCTCAGAAGGCGGCGACGGGGCTCTTCCGCCTCGAGAAGAGTTCCTCGAGCCGTCTCCGGGCGCAGAGACGGCCTCTCGGAGGGCGCGCGAGGGGGACTCCGAGGAAGCCCCGCAGCCGCCGCCCTCCGAGAGGGGGCCTGCCCGCGCTCGCTCCCCCCCTCCCGCCCGCGGGCTCGCCGCCGCCCCACGGAGCAGACGAGGCGTGTCCAGACCGTCCGCGAGGAGTCGCGGCAGCCTCTGCGGGTGCCGAGGCTTGGCATCGCTCGGACGTGTGCGTTTTTTTTCCACGGCGAGGACCATCGAGGAGCATCCTCGATCATTTGGCGGAAAAAAAGACACAGGGAATGGACGTCCGAGCGATGGCCAGTGGGTGCCGAGGGGCGCCACGGGCAGCTGGCCCCACATCAGGGGGCAGGGGGAGCCGTCGCCTGCGCACCGTCGCGGCGTAAGGCCTGCCTTCTACCCGATGGTGGAGAGAAGCGGGAGGTGGAGCAGGAGGAGGAGGAGGAGGAGGAGGAGGACGAGGAGGAGGAGGAGGACGAGGAGGAGGAGGAGGAGAATGGCAAGGAGGAGGAGGGGTGAGGGGGGGGAGGAGGAAAAGATGCCAGTACCGCTGCTCGTTCTGGTGATCCATCGTCGCCACGGCTGGGGGAAGTCCATGGAATAGCGGTATCGGTAATTGTCGGCTTCCCCAGAGTGAAGCGGAGAGGCGAAGGAGAGGGGGGCAGGCGGAGGATGACGAGGAAGAGGACGAGGAGTATTGTGAACGAGTCTGGGCGTTGGTGGGTCATGTGGCCTGCTCTGAATGGAGAGGAGCTGGGGGTCTCAAACATGGCGTTCCACGCGAGAGAGTGCACACATATGTGATAGTTTTCTTATTCATTGTTTTGCCGATCGGCGTGAGCCCTCACACACACCCTCCCCCCATGGAGTAGATCTTGGCTGTTTTCGGCGCCTGTTTCGAGCAGCTGGAGTCTTCCCCACAGGGCGCACTGCTGCAAACAGTCGCACTAAGCAGAGGTCCGGAGCCAGACCCCCCCCATCTCCCCCCTTCCGCCCAATGCCGAAACGCCGAATAAGAAAGCGTTCACTATGGATGTGACTGGCCTAGTGAGGTGCCCCCTGTGCGGCTCCCCCCTGGGGTGCCCAAGTTGTTGCCCAAGTTCCACGCTCGTGACATCTCGATGGTCACATTGGGGCTCTGAGATGAGAGGATGCTGGGGGGGCAAAGCATGCTTTCTACGTTGGAGTGGACGCAGGTCTGGACGCGAACGGGCCCGTGACATACCCCCTTTGTGGTTTCCCCTTGGGGCGGCCAAGTGCCACGCCTTCCAGATTGCGATGCGGCCATATATTGGAGAGGACGTTGCGGTGCAAAACCAGATGTTGCGTTAGAGTTAAGTCGGGCCTGTCCCCCTACAGGGGGATTCTCGACGAAAAATATAAGATACCCCAAAACAGTCAGAAAATGATCCAAAAATAGTCTGGAGACTATTGTTTGAGTCTTGTTCGCATGTTTGGGGCATTTTGGGGGTATGTTTTATTTTTCGTCGAAAATCCCCCTGTAGGGGGACAGGCCCGACATAACGTTAGAGAGCAAAAGCAAATTTGGTCGCGAACGGGCTCGTGCTATACGCCCTGGCGGCTTCCCCTTGGGTGCCCAAGTGCCGCGCTTGCAACAGCGCGATGGCCATGGAGCTCTGAGAGGAGACGATGTTTGGGCGGCAGAGTCTTGGGAGTAAGCACCAATCTGGGCGCGAACTGGCGGCTCCCGCTTGGCTTGGGGCAGTTGCCACGCCTGCTACATCGCTGTGATCATGGGCGAGCGAGTCTGAGTGTGGGCGTGTGAGTCTGTGTGTGGGCGTGTGAGTGAGTCTGGGAGTGAGTGAGTCTGAGTGCGAGCGAGTCTGAGCGTGCGTGAATATGAGTATTGGTCTGTGAATGAGTTTGAGTATTACTACGCAGAGCATGAGTGGATCTGAGGGTGAGTGGATGTGAGTATGTCTGAGTCGGTGTGTGAGTAAACATGATGACGGATGGAATGGAACACGACGTACACGACCAGAAGCAAGTTCAGAAAGTTACGATGGGGCCACGATGGGGGGTCACCAGGGGATGCACGATGGGAGGATCGGGGTAGGGGTAGGGATGAGGATATAGGGTTAGGGGTGTTTGGGCATCGAGGAGGAAGAGATCGGTATATGTGGATAGGGAGGAGGAGATGTGATAGGAGCAGGGGGGATAAAGGGACAGAGGCAGATGCACAGGGACCTGCAGAGATACGGGTAGGGATCTGGGAGACGGTCAGACCTCGGGATGCTGCGGGGGACGACGAGAGGCAGCGCCGCCCGACCGGCTCCGGATCCGGCTGCGCCTCTCGTCAAGGGAGGACAAACCACCCCGACCCCGACAAGCGGAGCTTACTACGCTCGACGAGCGCGTTCCACAACTCGCAGAGTGACTGCTCGCGAATGGCCTGGATTCGCCGGGGGAGGATCTGCGAGAAAGTACACCGAAGCCGACGTGTGCTTTTCGGACGTTTGCGTGCAGGCACTCTGCGAGCAGTGGAGCGCGCTCGGGGATACATGGCCTTGGGCGTTTACTGAAACGCCCCGCACCGTGCGAGTTCTCCCTTGGGAACGTTTGCTAAACGGCTTCGCTTGTCGGTGTGCGTCTCATGGGGGTGGATGTGCTGCTCTCCATCTTAGGTTGCTTTGGAGATGTTGTCAAGAACCGTTGCAGACAAGTTGTTGAGGAAAGGAAGGTGATTGAGGGGAGGGACGGAGGCGGAGGCGCATGCACTGATGGCAAGAAGCCCACATCCAGTACACGGGAGAGACGAGCCGAGCAGGTCGCGAGACAGGACGACCTGTGGGAATGGGTTCCAGAAAGTCCGAGGGGGACTCGCGTCTTGGGGGGGGGACATAAATACATATATACATACATAAACAAAAAACAAAACACCAAACACAAAAAACAAAAGACACGTTAAACATAAAAACAAACAACACGGAACAAAACAAAAAGAAAAGAAAAGAAATGAAAAAAACAACACACAAAAAAAACGGTCGTGGCCGCTGGGCGCTTCCAGCGGGACTCGCCGTGCGGGATTCCGAGCCGGAGGAGGGTGCGGGGCCTGCGAGGGGGCGCTGCTGCGGGCCGGCGCGCGGGAGTGAGCGAGCCTCTGTGCTGGGGAGGGCAGGGCAGCGGGGAGGGGGCCTCGTCCTCGTCCTCCCCCCCGCGCGCCGCGCTCCTCCGAGGGAGCCTTCGGCGATGGGGGCCGGCCTGTGCTCGTCCTCCCCCTATGCTCCTAAAGCGAGGCGAAGATCGGGACAAAATCGGATCGGGATAACTCGAAATCTCTGAGAATCGGCGGGTTTGGAAGATGTATTGGGCGCCGCGGCCGCTCCAGAGCGTTCCGGAACGCTCTGAGAGCGCTCCGGAACGCTCTGGAGCGATTTATCCCGATCCTAGCCCTGTTTTAGCTCCCCCCCCTCCCCTCCCTCGTCGCCGCTCCTGGTCCTCTTCCTCGTCCCTGCGCCCGCAGGTACAGTGGGGACCCATGCCAAGAAACACCCTGCTTGCCTCCAGGATGCCCTAGGTTTCTTGGGTTCCGATGGTGTGGCGATGGGGAGCGTGACGTTCCCACATCAAAAATCGACGGACGTCCTGGGTTCTCAGGGTTGGGTTTCTTGTGGAAGGTGTCTTGTGGTCGGTTACCTACTGCAGGCGCCCCCACCCGTCGGGACCGCCCTGCCGTGCCGGCGTGGCGGAGGTCCCCCGTCTCGTTCTTCCCGCCCGGGCCCGAGACCGGGCCCCGTGTGCTCGGCGGCCCGGGCTGCTTCCGCCGTGTCGGGTGCCTGTTTTGTCGCTCGTCGGTGCTGTTCCACCATGTTCTGCGTCATGTCAATAGTTCGGGGCTGGACAGAACCCCCAACAGTGACACGTCGATCAGTGAATTGTCCGTGTTCGGTTCTCGAGAGGGCGCCGTGGCCGTTATTTTCCATCCTTGTGCCCGCCAAGTTTGGGCCTCAGGTCGTTTTCACTAAACCACGTTTTACTAAAGGGGGGTCTGTCCATCCCCGAATAGTACATACGTTGATATGTGCTTGGCGTGTTGGTGTTGGTGTTGGTGTTGTTGGTGTTGGTGCTGCTGGTGTTGGTGTTGTTGTTGGTGTTGGTGTTGGTGTTGGTGTTGGTGTTGGTGCTGTCAGTGTTGGTGTTGGTGCTGTCAGTGTTGGTGTTGTTGTTGGTGTTGGTGCTGTTCGTGTTGGTGTTGTTGTGGCCGGTGCGGCTGATGTTGGTGTTGGTGTTGTTGGTGTTGGTGTTGTTGGTGTTGTTGTTGCTGCAGTTGCTGCTGCTGCTGCTGTTGTTATTGTTGGTGTGGTTGTCAAGTGGTTCAGTTGCCTTCAGTTGCTTGTCGTTGTCCGTTCAGTGTTTGGCGAAGTTGCCCTTGTGTGTACATTAGTTTTTAGTTGCTGCTCGAGATGGGTTGTTTTTGATAGTGGTTTGTTTCGGAGGCACTCGCAGCCATTACCAGCAACTAAAAGCCACTAACACAGTGCGATGAATGTTAAACTTGGCTTCAACACAGGCTCACGTAAGTGACCCGATGGCACTCATCCGCGATGCTCCGCGGACGGCATTCCGCCAGGAGGACAAGGAAGGCCTGCTCGGGTACGACGACACCGCCTTCTACTACTTTGCCAGCAGCGTGCGCCCCCGCGAGGGGGGGGGGAGTGCTGGGGACGAGAGAGAGAGAGAGAGGCGGGGCACCCTTGGGCACCGTGAGGGTCAGGAGGAGGAGGAGGACGGCGACGGCGACGGCGACGAGAGCGATGGCGACGATTTCGTTGGGGGACCCTGACCTTCCAAGAGGGCTAAAAAATAGCACGCGACTCAAAAACCTATCCCAAAGCTATTCTACGTCTTGGTGTTAGGCTGTTTCGCTGAGTTTTCTAGTTTTTTGGGCCTCCAGTGCTAAAGATTAGCTCTCTGGAAGGTCAGGGGATGGCAGGCTCCTTGTTGCAGGCCCGCTGTGCCTGGAAGTGCCCGGTGCCCGTCCGTGAGCTCGGGGCCGGTCGAGACTCAGGAGGGAAAGAAACACACAGACACAATTAATCGTCGATTCCCCAGAAAATATGGGAAAATATGGGAAGTGGGGGGGGAAGACAGAAACCGCAAAAATATGCGAAAATATGGGGAAGTGTTTTATTTGTGTGTATTTATTTGTGTGTCCCATGGCCCCTTCACGTGAGCGCGGCGGCCCGCCCCGGGCGTGGCGCGTCGCTCTTCCGCACTTGTGGGAGGCGCCTCGTCGCCTCGCGGCGGGCGCCGCCCGGAGGGGCGGGGTCGGGAGAGGGGCGCCCGGAGGGTGCCGGGGAGCGATTGGAGTCGGATCTCGACCGCCTGGAGCCTGTTTTTTTTAGTTTCTGGCAAGTTTACTTGCATGGACGGGGGGGGGGCTGAGCCTGAAGCAAGCCGCAAACGACTTGCACGTTCGGGGGGGGCGCGGAATCACGCAAGTCGAAAGGCACTTGCACGCTAGTATTCGCTTGAAGAGGGGCGGGGGGGGGGGGGGGGGGGGGCGAACGCCATGCAAGTAAACTTGCCTGAATCCAAAAAAAAACAGGCTCCACTGGAGGGGTCAGGATGGGCGCTTGGACGGGTCAGGATAAGCGCCTGGAGGGGTCAGGATGGGCGCCTGGAGGGTGCTTGACGGGCGAGCCGCCGTCGTCTCCACTGGGCATCCTCCAGCTCTGTGTTCGGAAGTGCCGGAGCAACGAAAGGTTCGAGTTGGCCAGAATTCGGGTTTGCCGACGCTTTCTTGCCGGGCCCGTCGTGGGTTTTGACGGTCGGTGTTCGTGGTATGCCTGCAGCGGGAGTTCGTGTCAAGTTTCAGAGTAGATGTTGTCATCTTCGTGACCGCCTTATCAGGCCAACCCGAGTCCCCCGAATCCGAATCTCACGCCTCCCCGAACATATTCAATATCCATTATTCAACGGCCCCCTCTTCCAAAGTTGGTCCCTGTCTGCGTTGTTGCGAAGTGTCGCCTCCCTTCCACGCTGGGCGCCTCAATAATCCAGCCGCCCCCCTCCCTTGCCACATCGATACTTTGCTTGATGGTGGTGGTGATGATGGCGATGGTGATGGTGGTGATGGTGATGGTGATGGTAATGATGCTAGTGATGCTGATAATGCTAGTAATGATTATGGTGAGGATGATGATGAGGATGATGATGATGATGATGATGATGATGATGATGATGATGATGATGAGTAAAATGATGAGGAGGATGCTGGCGAGTGGGTGGCGTTGGTGATGACAGGTTGCCTACAGACTGCGCCGCTTTCGGAGAACGAGCTCGGAGCACCCACGTCGTGTGCATATCGGCGCGCTTGTGTCTACATGGCTCCTGGTGTTTCCCTCATATTCGCATCAAGGGAACCCGGGACAACAACAGTTTTCAGAAATGACAACACCTAGAATGCAGAGTTTGTTCCAAATTTTCAAGTTTGGACATAGGTCTGCATCTCAAAGAAGTTGGAAGCCAAGATGATAATGAGCGTGCAGATTCCTCCTCGCAGCGGCAAGATGTTCCTCGAGATTCTAGTCAGAGCGCGCCCCGAGAGAGCCCGGTCGCGGTGAAGAAAATGACTCTTGAGATCAAGGGGTCTTGAGCTCCTTCGACGTTCTCGGCCTCCTGGGGCCCCTTTGCCAGCCACGGGACCTTCGAGTTCTGAAACACAAGGGGCCCTTGAATACCCCGTCTCAACGCATCACTGTTATGTGTGTTGCCTCCTCGGCCCAGAAGGTAGCCCCGACTCTGGGTGTCGTAGGCGGCCTTCACCCTTACACTTCATCGTGACGGTTGTTGTTGGAGTGGGGAGGTCGTAGAGCAAGGATGTGTACTCCAGATTTCGTAATAAAGGGAGGGGGGTCTCATTTCGGGGGGGTCTCTTCCAGGCTATCTTGGAGGGCCTGGGGGGTCTGGGGACGATGTTTTGGAGGGTTCTCCCACGGGGGAGGTCTGAAATGGCTTGTCTTGGAGGGTCCAGACCCCCTCCCTTTTATTACGAAATCTGGAGTATCTCGTTTGGCATGGGTATACGGATCTTGGCCGAACCAGGCGTATGCATTTCAATGATATCGATGTTGGACCGCAGGACGATGCTCAAGTTGAAACAACATTGCATAAACGCAAACAGTTCGGAGCTCCGCGCGAATGTCTTGGATCTGCGCTGAACATCCCAGGCAGCGCCGTGCCAGGGAAGGGGGTTCAGCGCGGATCCAAGGAATATGTGCGGACCTCTGATCGGCTCAGATGTCACCTCGCCATCCCCGGGGAGTTGCGAACTGCGAAATGTTCGCCACGTTCGAGTGCTGCTGGTGGTTCAGCGGAGTGACGCCTTACCGCAGAGTCACATTAGACCTCGCCATCATTGTGGGGGCTCCGAATTGCGAAACTGGTGTCGCTTTCGAAGGTTGCTGGGGGGTCCAGCGGAGTGATTCCTTACCGTAGATTCAGGTTAGACTTCGCCATCCCTGGAGGGCGGCGAACTGCGGAGCTGCCCTCACTCTTATGAAAGTTGGTGGAGGGATCAGCGGAGTGACGTCTTACCGCAGACTCAGATTAAACCCAGCCATCCATGGGGGGCCGCGAACTGCGAATATGCCGCCATTTTCGAGGGCGAGTGACGTCCTACGCACATACATCTAGATTAGACCTCGCCATCCCTATGGGTTGCGAACTGCGGAATTATCGACACGTTCGAGGGCTGCTGGGGGGATCCAGCGGAGTGACGTCCTACGGAGTCTTTGATTTGTCCTCGCCATCCCTGGGGGGGTGCTGCGAACTGCGGAACCGTCGCCACGTTCAGGGGCTGCTGCGGGGTCCAATTGATCAGGCGATCGCAAACATGGATTCAGGGGGCGTGGATTAACGACGGGTTCCGTTTCCATGGGGAATCGTTGATTTCCGCCGCCGAGCGAGGCGGAACTTGCCGCATTTGGGGGAGGGCGCCTCCTCAAATCCATGGATTTGGCGACCGCATGCCAAATCCATGGATCGCTAATCCATGTTTGCGCGCCCCCGAGTGGGTCCCCTGCCAGTCCCCAGCTCCCCGCGGGTGGCGAGGGTCCCTGTGAAGGGTGCAACAGGTGGCGGTCTCACGCTGTCACCAGTCATAACAACGCGAATATTTGGTATCGTTCGGACGTGTGCACTGGTTCTCGTTCAGGAGCATCCTGGACCATCCTGCGAATAAAACACGCACGAAACCGAACAAAGCACAGGGAATGGACGTCCGCCGGGGGTAGCGGTATTGGTACCGCCTCCTCCTCCTCCTCCTCTTCGTCCTCCTCCTCCTCCTCTCCCCCTCCCCCCCTCCTCCTCCTCCTCCTCCTCCTCCTCCCTCCTCCTCCTCCTCCTCCTCCTCCTCCTCCTCCTCCTCCTCCTCCCCCAGCGATGGCCAGATGTTGTCAATTGATCTGGCGACTTACCGGGGGTGACGTGGGCCTGCCACGGGGCACTCCGCGTGCCCAGAGCGCTCCCCGCGGGAGCCTTGGCCGAGTGTGCCACGGCTTCCCGCTCCGGGAGCGCGCATCTGGCGCATCATCCGATGTCGGGGGCGGCAAAGAGGGGGGTGATGCCCAGGGGGGGGTGGATATCATGGCGGGGGCCATGATATTTCCCCAGATCTCATGGCGCCTCTTCTTATCTCATTACGTCCCTGGCCCCCCCGCTGGGCCGCGCACATGCCGCCGGTCATGATTTGCGCCCCCCCCTCTTGGACACCCCCCTCTTGGCCGCTCCCGGCGATGGGTTCTGGCTTTTGGAGCGCGAATCTGGTGTCATTTGGGAGGGGTTTGGGTTTCGGGAGCGCGACATCGGCGTAGCGTACAAGGAGCTCTGGTTCTGGGGGCGGCAGCCCGGCATAATGTATCATGGAGTCCGGCTCATGGCGCAATTTCAAGAGGCCGATTGCTTCGGGGGCGCGAGTCTCAAGTACTTAGTTGCTTCTGGCAAACCTTGCCACCGTGCCTGTGCAACAGCGCAGCACGAGGGCGGTTGGGCGCAAGAGCAGCGCAATCCAGACAAGCAGTTTGAATTGAGACGGGTCGTGAACTCGACCTCGTTCTCGACCGCGCGGTAGGACGTAGATCCCCCCGTTCACGCCCCGTTCTAGTTCAGCGATCCGTTTGAATTTGGACGGGTCGTGAACTCGACCTCGCCTTCGTCCGCTGTTCTGGAACGAGGTCGTGCTCACGCCCCGCTGCACTTCAGCGGCTGCTCTGAAGTGGAGCGGGCAGTGAACGACCCCGTCTTCGTCCGCGCGGCACGAGGGAGGTCGAGTGAACGCCCCGTTGCAGTGCAGTGCTCTGTCTGAACTTGGGAGGGTCGTGCTCTCGTCCTCGACCTGGTCGGCACGGTAGGGGGGGGATGCCGATGTCACGTTTCTTGGCAGTTCAGCGAGTGGTTTGAATTCAGGTGGGTCGTGTTCTGGACCTTGCGTCCGCCCGCGCGGTATAGGGGAGGAGGGGAGGATGAGGAGGCCTGTTGAGGCCCTCTTGTCCGGGCTTCCTGGGAGCCATCGGAGGGCTTCTTGGCGGGCTCTCTTGGAGTCTCCCAGGCCGACTGGGAGGGCCTCTTAGCCGGAATGGCGCCTTCGAAAACCGTTCTGAGTTCTTCCCTAGGCCGTCTTGGTAACCTCTTCAACCGTCTTAGGGCCGTCTTCGGACCCTCCTGGGGGGCTCTTGGGCGATCTTGGTGTCCTCTTCGACCGACACGGGGCCCACTTCGGGGCCCCATGGGCTATCTTGGAGTCGTCTTGGAGGCCTCTTGGACCGTCTTGGGCGGTCGGAAGCCCAAACAGGCGAGAACCTCGAAATCTGTCAAAAACCTAACAAGAATCAATGGTGGTTGCTTTCTCGAGCTCTTGGACCGTCTTGTGAACCTTCTTCGAGCTGTCTTGAGAGCCTCTTCAGCCGCCTTGGGTCATGTTAAGCCGTTTTGGTTCGTCTTGATTGTCTGAGAAGCCGTCCTGGAGGCAGTCTTGGCCGCTTGAAAAACGAGAATACCGCCGGAAAGCGTTTTCATAGGGTGGGGATTTTTCAACCACGCGCGCGTCGGGGGGTGGGGGTCGGCCCTCGAAAACTAGAGAAACCTCCCAGACAGCAGCAAGCATTCTAACACGACCACTGGGCACAAGGCCCAGTTTTCGTGTCCTAGACCTACCAGAAATTCAGCCAACGCGCTTCGAGGAAGGAGGCCAGCGTGGTGTTCGGTACCCCCCCCTTGCGCGGACAGGCAAAATTTGGAGGCAAGAAGTAGTACGATGACATTGGAGACTGGAAACTGGAAGTGGAGCAGGTCGCAGGAAATCTCAGCCGCGCAGCCTGATGGACCCACAAGGGGAACAGCGGATTGCGTGGTGAACGGGCAGTTGTTCCCCAATCAGAGTTTGCCTCTGTAGGGTTCCAAGCGGATTCATATGATTAGGTTAGCTGCGTTGCCGATTTCGGTGGCACGCCCAGGTGCCCGGGTGCCCGGGTTCCCAGGAGCTGCGTCGCCGATTTCGGCGGCCCTGCCAGGTGCCCGGGTGCCCCACAGCCTTATAGCCTCTAAAGCCCTGTAGTCCTATAGCCCTATAGCCTTATAGCCCTATAGCGCTATAGCCCTGCAGCCCTATAGCCCTAAAGCCCTATAGCCCTATAGCCCTATAACCCTATAGCCCTATAGCCCTAAAGCCCTAAAGCCCTACAGCCCTATAGCTCTATAGCCCTATATCCCTATAGCCCTAAAGCTCTACAGCCCTAAAGCCCTAAAGCCCTACAGCCCTATAACAAGATAGCCATATTGCTTTATAGCAGTATAGATCTAAAGCCCTGTATCTCTATAGCTCTACGGCCCGCCCTACAGCCCCATAGCCCTACAGCCCTATAGCCCCATAACCCTAAAAAGACTTGTCTCATGTATCATCCTCTTTTGTTTTACACGCGTGTTGTTTCATGCAATATGTTGCCAGAGTGTTGGTGTTGAAACATTCGTGGAGCAGGCATAACACGTGGCACGCCGAAGGTGTCAATCCATCAGACGGGGGATGATGCTGGCAGATCTGGTCATGTGCAGCGGCAAAACGCACACGCCGACCAATGCGCAAGACGAAGTATGAAGACATATACCGTTACGTGCGGCGAGCTGTGCGACGAGTGGACAGACCCAGGGGTGGATGAGACGCGGAGGAGGAGGAGGAGGAGGAGGAGGAGTGAGCGAGGAGGAGGAGGAGGAGGAGGAGGAGGAGGAGGAGGAAGGGAGGGAGGAGGGAGGAGGAGGAGGAGGAGGAGGAGGAGGAGGAGGAGGAGGAGGAGGAGAGGAGGAGGAGGAGGAGGAGGAGGAGGGAGGAGGAGCGAGCGAGCGGCAGCAGAGGCAGCACCGGCAGCCCTTGGCGGGAGCCGAAGGCTGCGTCGGCGGCAGGGGCAGCGCCTGCGGCGGCAAAGCGAGCACGCGGAGCACAGAGGAGGGGAAGGGAAAGACGGGGGTGGAGGAGGAGGAGGAGGAGGAGGAGGCGGAGAAGGAGGAGGAGGAGGAGGAGAATGAGGAGGAGGAGGAGAAGGAGGAGGAGGATGAGAAGGTAATATTTTGCTTGGGGGGGCGCTCGAAGCGCACCGAGCGCGCTCCACGACTCGCAGAGTGCCTACTCGCAAGCGTCCAAAAACAACACATGTCTGCCTCGGTGTGATTTCTCGTGGATCCCGTGCGGCGGATCCAGGCCATTTGCGAGTAGTGACTTTGCGAGTAGTTTAACGCGTTCGTCTAAAAGCGGAGGGGGGGAGGATGCATCGACCCCCATTCGCCATTTCATCCCCGAGAGGGGCCCCATGGCCCACCCTGCCCACGGTCGTGCGAATCCGTCACCGCCCATCCATCGGCGATGTACCGCCGCTTCCTGCTAGATTTTGCCCCCCCCCACCCCCCAGGTCCCCCCCTGCCGCTCCCCCTCGTCGAGAGGAGGTGTGGGAACGATCGCAGGAGAAGAGTCAGCATGAGCAACATTGTTCTGAGCTCCGCGCGCGTGTCTTGAATTAGCGCCAGAACCTCGCCCTCGCGCGCGAAGCGCGTCAGGGACCAGTTTCAGCGTCGATCCGGGAAATCCGCGTGGACCTTCTAATGTTGATGGTTATGCCGACTTCGCTCAGGAGGAACAAAAACGTACAGACACTAATAACCGTCGACTCCCCAAAAAAAGGAAAACACGGAAGTGGAGGGGATGTCGAAAATCCTGAACAAATTGACCAATATAGTGAATCTTGGGATTTGTGCCTATTTGGACGAGGGACAGGCAGGCTGGGAGGTGGTGCGAGGTTGTGCTCGTCATCGCCGTGCCATGGACGATCTCCGCCATCTACAACCTGATTTTCCCCGGAGAGGCGCAGATACAGCAGGAGCCGAGCTTGTGCGGTTTCGCTCCTCTTTCGTGGGCGAGGGCGGAGGAGGAGGAAGAGGAGGAGGTCCATGAGGAGGAGGAGGGAGTACGACAAGGACGATGTCGGAGGACACGCAGGAATGGCAAGAAGATGAGTCACTAGAGGGGCAGAGGACCGTTCTGTTCTGACCGTTTGCCATGTGGCCTCGAGGTTTTGGCCAAACACACAAGCTCAGATGAGGAGGCATGAAGCAGGAGGAGGAGGAGGACGACGAGGAACGGAAGAGTAGAGACGCAGAAGGAGGGGGAAGGAGGAGGAGGACGACGGGAAAGGAGGGGGAGGGGGAGGGGGAGCAGAAGTGGATGGGGCAGGAAGGGCCCTTGGGGCTCAAGAGGAGGATCTTGCCCCTGGGGGTTGCTTGAGGGCTACGACGAGTCGGGCCCCACCTTTGCACACAGGAAGTGCTTCTGAGGGTTTGCCCTCGAGCGCCGGCGCCGTTCCGTCTGCGAGGGTCGTGCGCTGAGGCCCGTGGGTTTCGCTAGCTTCGGGGCACGCCCATTCCGTGCACGCAGGCACGGTGGCGGATTTTTCCCTTCGGAGATTAGTTTGGTGCGCCCCACCGTGTTGCTGAGGTGTCTGGCCGTGGCGAGCCTCGGTTTCCCCCGCCTTGTCCGCCCTGCCGGAGCGGCTCGTGAAGCTTGTGTTGTTCCCTTCTCCGTGCGTATCTGGATGTGTTTCAAAGAATCGTGTCTAGTGCCAGCCGCCGTTCGGCGGCATTAGGTGTCTCGTTTCTTCTCCCTCTTTCCCTCCCTTGCGCTCCCTCCCCCTCGCGCTTCCTTCTCCGTTTCGCACGCGGCGCGCTCGCTTCGCTTTTCAGGCCGCGGTTCAGTGAATGCGCTTGCCTGTCGCAGTTCGGTTCGTGTGATGTTACCCCAAAGGGTCTTTAATAAACCGCCGGGCAATAATGGGAATACCTTAATTGTCCGCCGGCTTATGGACGGATTGGGACCCCGACAATAGTTGGAAATTAATGATTCTCGTCGGCGGATGCATGAGAGGTCATGAGAAGTGCGCAAAAGTCATATCGCTCAACACCTGGCGGCCTCCTCCTCCTCCTCCTCCTCCTCCTCCTCCTCCTCCTCCTCCTCCTCCTCCTCCTCCTCCTCCTCCTCTCCGACACACCACCGCCACCAACACACCGCTTCCACACCACACCACCTCTCCTCTCCCGGGAAGGAGGCGGGAGGGGAAGGAGGAGGAGGAGGAGGAGGAGGAGGAGGAGGGACGAGTTTCTATTCCCCGCCGAGAGCTTAGGGGGGGGTGCATCATTAAAGACCCTCTGCGGTTTCCTTATTTGCTTTGCGACCTTTAGACACGAAGAAGCCCAGCGGCAGAGAGAGGCGGTCGAAGGGGGGAGGGGGGGAGGGAGGTGCCGGGGCGGGAGGGGCGCGCAGCCTACACGCAGGTTGCCCGAACTACCAATCGTCCAGGCCGAGTCGGGTGAAGTGTTGCTGTCGACTCAAACTCCTCCACTTGCGAGTCAGGAAGAGGAGGAGGAAGAAGGAATCGTCCCTCTTCCTCCCCCCCCCCGAAAAAAAATTGGGCCTATGCACAGCCTGCTCACAGGCCTACCGCAGGCCAGTGCATGGGCTGCGCACTGGCCAGTGGTAGGCCTGAGGTGTTTCTCTGGAGGTGCCTGCGCTCCACGACAGCCGTTGCACAACCTACGCGCAGGCCCGCCATAGGCCTGTGAATAGGCTACGCACAGTCCAGTTGTTGGCTTCAGGTGAGCCTCTGGAGGACAGGCCTGCGCATCGGCTGCGCACAAGCCTCTAGTACCCCACTGGAGGCTCTATGAAGAGACTGGCCCCCCGCGGTGGGCCTTTGCACAGCCTGCGCAGAGGCCTTCCACGGGCCATTGCAAAGGCTGTGCGCAGGTATATGATGGCTCTTTGGAGGGACTGCTGAGGGGCCGGCGCCCCGCGGCTGGCATACGCACAGCCTGCGCATAGGCCTACCACGTTATTATGCTTAGGTTGTGGACAGGCCTGCGGTATGCCTCTGGTTAGCCTGTGGAGCGGCCAGCGCTTCTCGATAGGCCTACGCACAGCCTGCGCATAGACCATAGGCCGTGCAAAGGCTATGCACAGGCTTGTAGCCGGCCTCTGGCAAGCTATAGAGAGGCCCCCGCCCCGCGAAAGGCCTACGCACAGCCTGCGCACAAGCCCGCCCTGAGGCTTGCGCATATGCTACGCATAGGCTTCTGCACAGCCTACCGATAGGCCTGTCTTAAGCCTACGCATCGCTGATCGATTGGCCGATGCACAGACCGATGCGTAGCCCACTGGTAGGCAATATGTGATAGGCCTATAGATCGGTGTTTGCAGGGCATGCTGGCTCATGTGGCGTAGATATTGTTGAACAGCATACGCAGGCTTACTATAGGTATACGCACAGGTTGTGCACAGCGGATTGCTATCTTCAGCGAGCATCATTCAGGACGAAAAGCCAACACTGGGGAAGGGGTCGAGAGGCCCAAGGGCCCATTGTCCGAAAAAGCCGTGACATCGGAGCAGCAGTTGTGTCGTCGTTTTCTGCATGGTGTCCAGTCTGCCAAAGCCACAACAGGGTGAGTTGTGGTTGATTCTCCCCGGGGGGTCCAGTCGAGAGAAGATAGTCTGGGACCATGACCAAGATTTCGCGGGAGTTTGTCGATGCCGATCTTGGACATGGTCCATGTCGGCCAACGCCGATGCGCGGGGATGACCCACGAATTTCAAACAATGGCGAAGCGGTCTGGCGTGCCCATAGGCCTACCTAGCAATGTGTTAAGAACATTTCGTGGTTTCCACGAACTGTTCTTAGAACATGTCTGGCTGGGACTGTCTCGTTTCAAACACATCGGGCTTATGTTCTAAGGACAAGGTTTTCTTCTTAGAACATGTTTGGGTTCTGAGAGCATTTCGTGGTAGGACTATAGGAATGCCGGGACTGTCGGTCCCTGCTCAAGAGTTGACGCTGGCCGAGATCGACGCCAGCTTGGGTCGACACGACATCTCCGCGAAGCCTCGGCGCCGTTCCCGCGTTGCCTCGACGCCTCGCCCGCGGCCGTCGCGAAGTGGAGCCACGGAGAAAACAAATAGCGTTCAGTCGGGCCTGTCCCTCTACAGGAGGAATGCTCACAAATAGTTTTTTAAAAAGTCCAGGGAGGATTGTTTGACTATTTTCGGAATGTGATTGGATGATCCATTGTTCGCCGAGACCCCGCCCGCAGGAGGACACGCCCGACCTAAGATAGGAACAAAGCTGGTGCCCGTCGTCTTCCCTTCCATCCCCCGGCGGTGGCGGAGGTGGCTCCGCTGCACCACCCGTCGGGCGCGGGGCGGCCCGGAGCTGCCCGAGCACGCCGACTCGGGAGGCAGGTTGGGTAGTCGAAGGCCAGACTGTCAGATTGGATGGGGCCCCACGGGCCAATCTGGCCTGGCCAAACTGGATGATTTGGGTTATTCGCCAGACTGGATTCGCGTTGGCTCCCTCGCCAGACTGCCCCCGTTTGCCAGATTGGGCCTGCCAGATTGGCGCCAGATTGGCTTCGACTACCCATGCAGGGTTGGGAGATCATCGGGGGGGCGGACGGCAACGATGGTCGACCGCGCGCAAAGGGGGTTAGGGTTATGTCGGGCGCGTCCCCCTACAGGGGGATGTTCAACGACTAATAAAAACTACCTAAAAAATACCCCCAAAAGGTCAAAAAATACTCAAAAAAATAGTCCCCAGACTATGTTTGGAATATTTTTTGATTACTGTTGGGGTATATTCAATTTTTCGTCCAAAATTCCCCTGTAGGGGGACAGGCCCGACTTCAGGTTAGGGGGGGAGGCTTCTTGTAAACACCCTACTTCTCAGAAGGCGCGGGCCTCATCAGTGGAGGTAAGGCCGGCGCCTTCTAAGGAACAGTTTTCTGAGAAGTCGTCCACCCTCCCCCTTTACCCCGTTTTACGCGCGGCCAAGATGGGACCCACACGGCCCCTGAACTGCCACTGCGGGCCGATACGGCCCTCGTTGCTCCACCCCCTGTCGATTGCCCCCCCGTTAACAATCACCCGAGTCGGCACGAGGAGCTCACCCCCCAGAGCTGTGGCCGATCGGACAGCCCCCGAGACGCGAGCGCGCGCGCAGGATTTTCCGAAGAAGAGCAAGGCGGGCAGCAGCTTCCGATATCCGCGGGCTCTCGCCACCTCACTGCCCGGAGAGGTTTCGCCCATGGCGCGGGCCAAGGGCGTTGGAGCATACAGGCGCGAGACGGTTCGGAGGAAGGGCAAGCGACATTTCAGTGGGCCCTGGAAGCGGAGCTGTCGTTTTTGTTTTCTTGCTCCGTTTTTGTTCAGGTGTGTGTTCCGGTTCCGTCGCCGTATTGTTTTTGGTTCCAGTTCCGATTCCGGTGTTATTTGTTTCGGTGAATGAGCGCCTTGTTTCTATTCAAGAGGCAGGTTTCGGAAACGTAGAAAAGAAAACAACAGTTCTGCCGATTCCAACCCCCTCTAAGAGCGACGCCAGCACCAGCAGGGCCACCCCCTCGAGGAGGTGTACCGTGCCCCCCCAGCTGGAGACTCGCAGGAGGGACAAAAACGCACAGACACAACGAATTGCCGATTCCCAAGAAAATGTAGGACATATAGAAGGTGGAGGGGTTGACGAACAGCCAGAGAAAATATGGACGACGTGGGGAATCCTGAATTTACCTAAGTTTGTGTGTCCCTGGGCCCCTTCAGATTCAAGAAGGTCGAGATACCTCGGCGGGTTGCCGCAGGACAGCGGGGCCGTAGTTCCGCGGCGCGCCCAGAGGGGGAAAGCAGAGGGCGCCGGCTTTCTCAGAGGGCGGCGGTGCTTCTGAGAATCGATTGCTGCAAACATTCGGAAGAGGATGAAAATGTACCAATACCGCGACCTTTGCCTCGTGCTCCCCCTTCTTGGGCCTCCTGGGACGCCCTCGTCGACACGGCCGGATTCGCTTCGAGATTCTGGTCAGAGCGCACCCTGGGAGAGGTCTGGGGAGTAGAGGTATCAGTTTCGTTTTGGTTTCCGCAAACCATGGATTATGGCACACCACGGCGCGTGGATTCGTCACGGGCCCCGTTTCCATTCGATGGATTCGGCGCCCACGTGCCTGATCCGCGGATCCGTAGTCCTTTTTAGCATGTGCCCGAAAGAAGCCCTCCCGCCTTCTAAGAAGTGTTCTAGAAGCCTTCGCCGAAGCCGCCGCCGCCGCCCTGAGAAGGCCAGAAGGCTTCCAAGAAGCCCCGGGGCCGTCTGAGAAGGCTGGCCACCCCGTCCGCCTTCCCTCGGCGTCACCCCAACATACTTATGCTACATGTGCGTCGCCCTCTCAGGGGCGACGCGCGCACCGAGATATCTTGTAGTATATGCGTCGTGGCGGGCGCTTTCTGTCCACACCGCTCGGGAAACGATATACTACAAGATGGGTATACTATATGTTCCGGTCGGACGCGCGCCTCCAAGGAGAACATATAGTACTAGTATGTCTCTGTGCGTCCCATTCCCCCCTCGGGAGCCTTGAGACGGGGCTCAGCCAGAGTGCGAGATCTTGCAGGATCTTGCAGAGCCCGGGCCCTGCTGACCCAGCAGGAGAGTCCCCCCTCCGGCTCCCCGCGGTGGCGCCGGTGCCGGCCCTCTGTGCTCCTGGCGATGCCGCCGCTGCGCGAGCGGGCGCCGCAGGCTGGAGTTGCCGGCCCCGCCCGCGGTCCGCGGTCGGGCTTCGTGGTCGGCGGTTCAAGCACCGCTACGATCTGAATGGGTACTCCAGATTTCGTAATAAAAGGGAGGGGGTCACAACCCTCCCAGACGAGAAGTTTTAGACCCCCCAGACTATCCATGAAAGGGCGGCCCTTTGCCCAAACCCCCACGAACGCGCCAAGACAGCTCAAATTAGACCCCCCCCCGAATGTGACCCCCCCAACTTTGTCATGGAATCCGGAGTACGGAAAGAGCGGGGACGAGGACCAACAACTGCCCTTGTCCATTTTGAAGCAGGGCTCGCTGTTGGTGCCCCCGCGGACGCTGCCCATTCGAGGCAGACGGCTGGCTGCCCAGCAGCGGCCGCCGTCGGTGTTGGACAGCATCTGTGACTGGGCATCGTGCCCATGTGTTTCGTACCCACTTTGGGGGCGTCCACAGCATGGGGTCCTCAGCTCAGATGTTCTTGCGAGCGCTGAGGGCGCTTCCCCCGTGTTGAACAGCGTTTGTGTCGACGGCGTGGAGCGTAGTGATCGTTGCGTTCTCTTGTCGGGGATCGGCCCGTGGCCAATCTGCTAGTTTTCGGGCCATGTTCGCTGCGTGCTTGTTTCAATGCGGTGTCAGATATTTTAGATATCACAGTGCCGCCTGCCTGACGCCCACGTCTTGGGGTGTCGTGTCGTTTAAATGCGTTTTGGCCGAGTCGAAACCGAAATGTTGACGACTACAAGAAACGCCCACAGCGCTAGTAAGAGAAATTCGGGTCCTGGGGGGGGCGATGCCCTCAGGATAGGAGAAAGATCCGAAGCTAAACCTTCGCTGCCTCGGGCCACTCGTCCTCGGGGGCCCATCTCTCAGGGTCCCGCCCTTGAACCGCCGCCGTGAGCACCCGCGCCCGAATGACCTGGGCGAAGGCGCTCGCCGTGATCTTGCTTCGCTGCTCGCGGCGCCAGAGCGTCAGTCCAGGCCGCCCAAGTTGGGGCCGAAGCAGATGAGCGACGGAAGATAACGGGATCGTGTTCTCCGACATTTGCGCGTAAGTTGCCCGCGTAAGGTCGCGCGTGAGCGTTCTCGTTTCCAGCGCAGCGTGCCGCGCTGGCGTCCAGCGTAAGCTGCGGCGTAAGGTCGCTATGCTATCTCGCGCAAGTCCCGTTTGTGATCGTCGTTCAGATGGGGTCGGTGGATCGCACCGCACCGCCGATGCGTCGGCGTTTGCGGCTTCATGTGGAGCCCGAATTCCTCCGCGCCAACGTCGCTGGTGCATCGACGGTGCGTCGCGAGCCTCCAGCCCCATCTGCTGCGGGCGCAGACAGGGGCATTGCGCGGCGCGGCCCCGAGTCGCTTGCACGACGGGGTCGCGTCGTTTTGTCGTCGTGCGTCCTCGCCCTGCTCCTCCTCGTGGCTCTTCTCCTCCAGCCCCGGGGGGCCTCGGCCCTCGGCATCCCGAGCCGTGCGGCAGGCAGGCCTGGGGCCCCGGAGGCGCGAGTGCCGTGGGCTCCGCTGTCCTGCCCGCCCGCCCGCCCCCCCGGGGGACGGCGGACTGCCAAAGCGCGGAGATGAGGGAGAAGATAGACGTCGCCCGGAAGGAGGCCCGGCGCGCTGCGTTGGTCGTCGCCGGGGGCTCTTTGGCGGGGGTCGAGCGGGAGGGAGGGGGAGGGAGAAGGAGGAGGGAGGAGGCGGAGGAGGGAGAAGAAGGAGAAGGCAGAATAATGAGGAGGAGGAGGAAGGATGAAGGAGTGAGGGAGCAGAATGGTGAAGGAGGAGCAAGAAGGTGGAGGAGGAGGACGAGCAGGAGGTGGAGCAGGAGGTGGAGGAGGTGGAGGAGGAGGAGGAGGAGAAGACAGCGTCGCGCGGAGCGAGGCCCGCCCCACCCTTTCTGTTCGGTGTCAGCGGCGTCCGGCGTCCGAGGGGGCTTGGGGGGGGGGGAGGGCCCACGCCGCAAGACCGGCGGGCAGCCGTCGAGGAGGAGGAGTTTCGGAGGGAGTCCGCCGCACCCAGCCTCACGGAAGAGCGGGAGGAGGAGGAGGGAGGGACGGAGGGAGGGACGAACGGATGAGGGTGGAGGGAGGAGGAGGAGGAGGAGGAGGAGGAGGAGGAGGAGGGGATGGAGGAGGAGGGGATGGAGGAGGAGGAGGGGATGGAGGAGGAGGAGGAGGAGGAGGAGGAGGAGGAGGAGGAGGAGGGGGTGGAATCAGGAGGGGGAAGATGGATGAAGAGGAGGACAAGGGTAGGGGGAGAAGGATTAGGGAGGAGGAGGAGGAGGAGGAGGAGGAGGATCCGTGTAAACCCAAGACTCGTCAACGATATTGGAATAAACTCTCCCTCCAAGCTCGCTCGTCACACGCTCCTACGAGGGTTGATTTCCATTGATCCTGCAGTGTCGGTCGCGAAGTGCCTTGCTCTACGAAATACACTCCCCTTCTCTTGCTCCCATCCCCCCTCTCATTCGCCCGGGGGGCCTGCCGCGGCCCCTCCGGGTGCCTTCCTGGATGCTCATTGTTTCGGTTGATCGCTGCGTTGTTGAAACGCGTTTGCCGCCGTCTCGCCCACATGCCTTCGGCGTCGCCCCAACCTGCTGATACTACGTGTGCGCCGCCTCCTAAATGGCGACGCGCGCGCAAAGAAATCGTATAGAAAACGACACGAAGATCGGGACAAAATCGGATCGGGATAACTCGAAATCTCTGAGAATCGGCGGGTTTGGATGATGTACTGGGCGCCGCGGCCGCTCCAGAGCGATCCGGAACGCTCTGAGAGCGCTCCGGAACGCTCTGGAGCGATTTATCCCGATCCTAGCCCTGTTTTAGTATAGGATGAGCTCCGTGGCGCGCGCTTTCTGCCCATGCCGCTCCGGAAACAGTGGAAGACAAGATGGTTGTACAAAATGATGGGGTCGGACGCACCCCTCCGAGGAGGACAACTAGTACTGGTATGTCCTCGTGAGTCCCATGCCTCGAACGCTTTCAAGCAAGCGCCCCACACGTTCGGCCCGCGCGGGCCCCTCACTTCCGCGAGCAGCGGCGACGCTCGACCACGCAGCGCGCCTTGCGGCGCCGCCTTGATGTTATCCAGATTCGGAGGTGGACAGACCTCCTACCCTGACACGTCGATTAAGGAATTGGCCGTTTTCGGTTCGCGAGAGGGCGTCGCGGCCGTCATTTTTGCGGGTCCAGGTCCGGCGGTTTCGGTCCCAGGCCATTTTCACTAAGGGGAGGTCTACTAAAGGGAGGTCTGTCCAGCGCCGATTGATGTTATCCAGAAGCCTCCGGCCACTCCGCCGCCGTGCCCGCTCAGCACTCCGACCGGGAGGCGTCTGTCGCCACGGGAGCAGCGGACCCTGACTTGGCATCGCTCGGAGGTGTGCACTTTTTCCTTCGGCGAGGACCATCGAGGAGTATCCTCGATCGCTTGGCGAAAAAAACACGCACGAAACCAAAAAAACACAGGGAATGGACGTCCGAGCGATGGCGAGCTGAGGGAACCGGGTCTTTAGTCGTTTCGCTGTGTTTGGCGTCCAGAGACCCTCCACGGGATGCAGGACCTGTCGGAGAACGATTCGGGAGGAGGACCTCGTCCCAGGCGAAGAGGCCCCGGGGTCCGTGGCCCGTTTCCCATATATGGCAGATGTGGGTGTTCCAGGAGCGCAGACTTGCCGCATGCTGCGAGGGAGCGTGGCCTCGGGGAAAGAGAGGGGGCGGTGCACGCAGGTGGGCGCGGCGAGCGGGGGGGGGGTCCTTTACGAGATTACAAGAACCCTGCCAGGCAGCACCTGGCATTCTCGCCCGCCTCAACGTGCCAGCGGGCACGGTGGTCTCTTTTTGGGATGCAGGCCCTGGGAGGTTTGATTCGGCATCGGCGCCAGTCTACCCAGGGTCGAGAAGGGGCCTAATCTGGGTTGATCCAGATAAGTGCCCCTTTAATCTGGCTCAACGGGTCTGGATTTTGGTCTTGATTTGGCTTACGAAGATCTCCCAGGCGATGTTTTCGCGAACGTCGACCACTGCGGCCTCAGACCACTTCCCCAGGACCAGTTTTGCATCCCGAGTCGTTTTCAGAGGCCGAGACTGCGTCACAAGCGAGACCACCGCGCGCCTCCACGCCGTCTCGAACATGACCTCCCGTTCTCCTTCCCTAGCTGAGGCCACGGCTGTCCACTGCATGAGCTTACCTGTCCCAGGTCGGCTCGCGGTGAGATGCCGTTTGTTCTGGCGACGTTTTGATTCGCGCGGCGATCGGTGCGAGACAGTGTGAAGCCGTGGTCGCGTTCCGTGCCGTCCCTGCCCAAGACAATTCCTCCCTGGCTCCCCTCTCCAGAGCGCCAGGCGCGGAAGTTCAACGCAGCCTCTTGTGGCTCCATGTGCAAGTTCGGCACCATAGCCTTCCTGTGGCGCGCTCCCCAGCGGGCCCAGCTTCCGAGGTCCGAGGGGAGGAACAGTGGGGGACGAGGAGGAGGGAGAGGGGGGAGGAGGTCGGAGGTTGCTGTGGGTCATGGGTGGCTCAGCATGAGTTCCAGCCGGCAGAGAGGGGGAGAAAGGAGCCCCCCTTGTCGCCACGGCTGGACGGGGCTCCAAAAATTGGTCGGTTTCGACCTGGGGAGGGGTCTGGGGACCGATGTTGCGCAAAGTTGCCCTCCCCCTCCTATCTTGAACGATGTTTTCCGAGATTGTCCAGTTCGGACCCCCCAGCCGCCTCCAAGGAGGAAGCGAAATTCGGGAGGATTTGCGAATATCGTATGCACATCTTTTCGGGTTCTCATACAAATCTTCCAGATATGGTGGAGTTAGGCGGAAGATGGGGAGTACATGTTCGCCGAATGAAGGTGCCGTAGATGGAGGGTGGATGAGGACGAATATGGAGATGGAGGGTGGAGGAGAAGGAAGAAGGGAAGATGGAGGAGTTGGGCATAGTTCTGATGCTCTCTTGTTTCATGTTGCATGCCAAGTGTGCGTTTGGAATCCCTTCTTTGCCTCCTGAGGCCTCAGGAGACCTCCAATGCCTCCGAGGACCCCGAAGGATCTCTAGATATGCTTGCAGGTGGAGTGGGAGGGAGGGAAGGACCTCCGATTCTGACTGTCACAGGAACCTTTGTTGGGCCCCCAGGAATGCTCTGAACGCCATGTCTGAATCCACCTCGAGGTCCTCCCCAGGACGAGTCCTGGAGCCGGTCGGCTTGAAGGAATGTGGAGGACGGAGGAGGATGGTAACACAGGGCTAGGATCGGGATAAATCGCTCCAGAGCGTTCCGGAGCGCTCTCAGAGCGTTCCAGAACGCTCTGGAGCGGCCGCGGCGCCCAATACGTCCTCCAAACCCGCCGATTCTCAGAGATTTCGAGTTATCCCGATCCGATTTTGTCCCGATCTTCGCGTCGTTTTAGGATGGAGGATGGAGCAGGGAGAAAGCAGAATGGCAGGCCCGCGTGTGCGAAGCAGTGGGGGGGGGGGGGGGAATTCTCAAGCGAGTGCGCCCTCGGCGCGTCGAGCCGGCATCTCAACACATCCCCAGACCCCCGATGCCGGGTTCCTCACGCTCTCGCGACGAGGGCCCCCGAAGGCCTCGACCCCATCAAACGACGCGAAGATCGGGACAAAATCGGATCGGGATGACTCGAAATCTCTGAGAATCGGCGGGTTTGGAGGACGTATTGGGCGCCGCGGCCGCTCCAGAGCGTTCCGGAACGCTCTGAGAGCGCTCCGGAACGCTCTGGAGCGATTTATTTTGATCCTAGCCCTGTTTGACCCCACCCCCAGGACCGGCGCTTCGTCCCGAGTCGTCTTTGAGGGGCCCCATGATCAGAGCGTGAATTACCTACCCCGCTTTCGCTTCCAGGCAAAACCAAGCCATACCACGCGCCTCCTCGCCAAGCGGCCTGACCAGTACAGGCTGCAATTCGGCATCGTTTGGTATCTCTTGGAAGCGAGGGCGGTCAAAAGCGAGGCAGGTTTGTTTTCCCCCTACATGAGGCCGAAAATCGATCAAGACGCTGCGCTGTGCTTCGCTCCCGACGCGAGGGTGTCCGAGTCGAGCGGCCCGCACAGCAGGTGTGCCGACATCGTCGTGCCCCGGCGGGGTGTCAGAGCTGCGGCGCTCTGCGGGTGTCCCGAAACGGCGGGGTAGGCCACCCCGTCGGGTGAGTCAGTTGGGATTTGTGGTGACCGCGCGGTATTGAGAGTTGGGGCGTTCTCCGAGGATGTCTCGGGCAACTGGGAGGAGGAGGAGTAGGAGGAGGAGGAGGAGGAGGAGGAGGAGGGACGAGGGACGAGGGACGAGGGACGAGGCCTGGCGCAACCGTCCCTCGAAACGAACAGCTGGCGGGACGGCCGAGGCGGCCGCGTCCTCAAATGAGGACGAAGAAGGCGTCCACCTCCAGCTCCACCATGGGCCCGCCCCCGGGAGGGGCCAGACGTGCCATCAGCGTAGCAGATGGCGACGCTCCCGCTCTCCGGACAAGGAGCCACGCGGGCAGTAAGGAAGCCGATGCCCACCAGACGTAGGGCACGGCGAAAAGGATAAGGGCGTCGCCGAGCGGGCACCCGACGACGCCGAGGAGGTCCAGCTCCACGAAATGGTCCGCCCCCAACGCTCGGGCCAGGTGGGCCCACGAAGTACCACTGCCCACCAGGGCGACGGTGAGCACGGCGAAGAGCACGTTCCACACACGGCGGCGCGACCGCTGTACCTATGTGGGGCACTCACATATGGAAACAGCCGTCGCCGATCAAACACCAGACGGCACTGCCAAAAAACTCCAGCTGCAGTTTCTGCCCTCAAGGTCGAGACAGGCCTCAACGCAGCCAAAGGCACTCCAGGTGAGGACGGCGATGGCATCCACCACGAGCAACGCGTTGGGCCCGCCCCCCGGAGGGGCCAGACGGGCCAATAGCGTAGCCGTCGGCGACGCTCCCACTCTCCCTTAGGGAGCAAAGCGGGCAACATGAAGAGGCTGTCGATCCACACAAGGATGCGGAGGACCCAGCAGCCAACAGCAGCACCAACGATCAAACACCGACGGCACGAGCAGATGGATGACGTCCGTAGCCGATCACGCAGCCACAAGCGCCTCAAGCGGCCCGCCCCCAAGAGAGGCCAGACGGGCCATCAAGTAGCACGACCAGCATACCATGCGGCCCGCCCCCAAGAGGGGCCAGACGGGCCCTCACGATAGCACCACCAGCCAGCAGGGCCCGCCCCCAAGAGGAGCCAGACGGGCCATCAGCAGTTCTCGTCCGATTGAGGTAGTAACCACGATCCAGCCACTTCTGTACCATATAGAGTAGCAACCACCAAAACACCGTCCAATTGAAAGTAGTGACCACGATCCAGCCACTTATGTACCGAGTGCAGTAGCAACCACCAACTGAAAGCCACTGGGGCAGGAAGCCCTCGAACAACTTCATAATGTAAGTAATGTCCGAGGCCCTGTTCCCAGCGGAAGGCAAGCACACCTATCACCAACAGATGGCCAGAACACCGTCACGGGTCGCTTCCATTGGGAATTGGAAGCACGAGAGGCAAGCGCATTTGTCACCGACAGGTGGCCAGAATACCCTCACGGGTCGCTATCGTGCGTCCTAACCTTCGGAGAGGCAAGCGCAGTCGTCACCAACGATTGGCCAGAACACCCCCATGGGTCGTTCTCTTTAGGCCATTGGGCATATGTTGTTGTCGTTGTGGCCTTCGGGGCCTGAGTGAACTTTCCGATACACGCAAGGGGCGCATGAACACAGCAGCCAAAGAGCACACGGAGACACGTCGATCAAGCCGCCGACGAATTAATGTTTGCACACTTCCCTTGGGGAACAGCGGGCAGGATTAGCTGAACGTAGGAGGAGGAGGAGGAGGAGGAGGAGGAGGAGGAGGAGGAGGAGGAGGGGAGGAGGAGGAGGAGGAGGGAGGAGGGAGGAGGAGGGAGGAGGGAGGAGGGAGGAGGGAGGAGGGAGGAGGAGGGAGGAGGGAGCAGGGAGGAGGGCGGAGGGAGGAGGGAGGAGAGGAGGAGGGGGGAGGAGGAGGAGGAGGGGAGGAGGAGGAGGAGGGAGGAGGAGGAAGAGGAGGAGGAGGAGAGGAGGAGGAGGAGGAGGAGGAGGAGAGGAGGAGGAGGAGGAGGAGGAGGAGGATGGAGGAGGAGGAGGAGGGAGGAGGGGGAGGGAGAGGGGAGGAGGGAGGAGGGAGGAGGAGGAGGAGGAGGAGGAGTTGGTGGTGGAGGTGGAGTGGAGGTGGAGGTGGAGGTGGAGGAGGAGGAGGGGAGGAGGAGGAGAGGAGGAGGAGGAGGCCGAGGAGGAGAGAGGAGGAGGAGGAGGGGGAGAGGGTGGAGAGGGAGAGAGGGAGAGGGAGGAGAGGGGGAGGGGGAGGAGAGGGAGGACAGGGAGGAGAGGGAGGAGGGGAGGAGAGGGAGGAGAGGGAGGACAGGGGGAGAGGAGGAGAGGGAGAGAGAGAGGGGAGGAGGGAGGAGAGGGAGGGAGGAGAGGAAGGAGAGGGAGGAGCGAGGAGAGGGAGGAGAGGAGGAGAGGAGGAGGAGGAGGGGGAGGAGGGGGGAGGGGGGGGGAGGGCGGAGGAGGAGGGAGGAGGAGGAGGAGGAGGGGGAGGGGGGAGGGGGAGGAGGGAGGAGGAGGGAGGAGGAGGGGAGGAGGAGGAGGGAGGAGGAGGGAGGAGGAGGGAGGAGGAGGGAGGAGGAGGAGGAGGAGGGAGGAGGAGGAGGGAGGAGGAGGAGGAGGGAGGAGGAGGGAGGAGGAGGAGGGGAGGAGGAGGAGGAGGTGGAAGAGGAGGGAGCAGGAGGGAGGAGGAGGGAGGAGGAGGCAGGAGGAGGGAGGAGAAGGGACGAGGAGGGAGGAGGAGGGAGGAGGAGGGAAGAGGGAGAAGGAGGGAGGAGGAGGGAGGAGGAGGGAGGAGGAGGAGGAGGAGGAAGTACAAGCTCTTCCTCTGTACTCTCGGTCAGTCGCTGCGTCAGGGCCGCTTCCCGCTCTGTGCCGGGCCGTCCGAAGCCCCAAAGCGTTGCTGGGCGGTTGACGTGCGATGGTCGTGACTGCGGCGTCGCGAGGGGAGAGGGCCGTTTGCCCGCGGGCTCGAGCCCTTGATGAAAACGACGATTGCGGCTTGATGAGTTTCTGAGATGGCATATACATATACATATATATATATATGTACATATGCATGTAGCTTTTATGTATGTATATATCGATGCCGATTTGTCGATACCCTTCTCTCGACATTTGGAGGGCCCTCGTCGCCACACATCTGCACGAAGGGGTTCTGATTGAGCTCAAATGGGATTTGCCCGTTTCGACCACTGCTCGACCTGCGAAAGAAAGCGCACAGTAGATTGCACCACGTGGATTGCACCCCACACCTTGAGCGTCCCCGACCGACCGCAAGTAGACCATGTCTTCAAAGCACCCCCGGGAAAATAAATTCAGACCGAGATTCCCTGGGACATCCCCGGACCCCGTTCGAGTTTTAAGGGCGAACCAGCGTTAGTGCCGCTTCTTTTAGTGAGGACCAGGATTCCCGGGGACCAGCTTCAGAAATTCACAAACGCGCATGCAGCAGTCAGACATTTAAATTTAGCAGCGGATTGTTAAAGTAGTGACCCTTGCCTTCCTGATTTGTTGAATGCCTTGGCGCCCGCTAACGGTAGCAATCAGATAGGGCTTTTCAACTCATATTTTGCACCCCATCGATGGCACCCAGGAGTTTGCACCACATGGGGACCGTTTTAGCGATCCGCGATAAACACCGTAGCTGGCCCCGCCCCCACCCCGTCACCCCCGATCTCGGTAACGTCATGTTTCGCACCAGCGCCATCTGGGAATGCCCAGGAATAGCTAAGGACAGCCAGGATTAGCATGTGGGTAGCGATCTTCCAGGAGCAGCGTAGGGGATTGCTGAGAGTAGCTGCGAGCAGCGTGCGCAGCACCTGGGCGCGCCACAGCACCTCCCGCGGAGGGACCTCCAGGGTTTACCATAGTGCTTGTGTCCGCAATGCCTGCGTGCACCACAGCGCCTGTGAACACCACAGTGCCTGTGCACACCACAACAGCTGTGTGCACCACTGTACCACAGCGCCTGTGCACCCACAGCGCCTGCGCACACCGCATCGCCATGGTGCCCCACAGCTGTTGCTTCAGCAACGTTTGTGCGTACTACTGCGCCTGTTTATCCAAGTGCTGCCTGCGTGCACTATAAGCAGCTGTTGTCCACTTCCAGGATCCTGACGGAGCCGAAATCCAGAAATCATGGGCAGCCCGAGCGTATCAAGTCCAATGTGAATTACGTGTTCATATTTGTGAGTATGCGCCCACGCTGCCTGTGCATACGACGCCGCCTATGTGCACATCAGGGCCTGTGTACACAAGTGGTTGTGCACACCACAGACGTTGCAGCATTGACACTCCTGTGTGCAATACCGTCTGCGTACACCACAACGACTGTGCACCAGAAGGCTTGTCCGAACAACACTGCCTGTGTACACCACAGTGGTTGTGTACACCACCAGGCCTGTGCACACCAACAGTGCTGCTACAGCAGCATTCTTGCACACCACAGCACTTGAATCTACACGGCAGTTGTGTGCAATTCAGCGCTTGTGTTCAACACAGTGCTTGTGTACACCACAGCGCCTTCGTGCACCACAGCTGCTACTGCAGCGGCAGGTGACACCAGCATTGGGTGCGCACCACAACGCTTCAACGCCTGTGTGCACCACAGCGCATGTGCACACACTGCCCACGTACGTACACCTCCGAAGGCTTAGGACGCCTCCAGACGACGTTGGTCGTGGTCGTTGTCATTTTGCGACGGCACTATGGAGCCTGGGACCCACCCCCGATTTCTCCTCTGGCCAGGGTGCCCTCTAGTCTCTGTTCGCCCTGCGCCCCCGCCGCCGCCGCAGCCGCTCCCCCCCCCCCTTGGAGCTTCGTTTTGGGGACCTTCCCGGGGGCCACAAAGCAGATCAGTTCGACTCAAATTCTACTCTAATTCAGTTCCAGCACGACTAAAGTTCGACTCTAGTTGGTTGAAGTCGACGGGCGTTCGACGCAGCCCCCACGCACGAGTGGAGCGAGTGGCGCCAGACATGTCCCCAGAATGAGCATCGAACCCCCTCTCTACCCTTCCGGCTGCCTTTGGGCGGGCGCAGCCCGCGTCGACCCGCGGCCCCTCTTTTGTTTCTCCTGCGCTGTGCCCAGTGCGTTCTCGAATGCCTAAGAACAGTAGCAGACAGTTCGCGGCGTTCACGCTACGGGAACATTCGGTCGACACGTTTCCTGTCAGCCTTGACAGCAGCCATCTTGTGTTGGGGGTGGTTTAGCCCCGCCTTCTGCACAGAGTGGCGCGCAATTGCTTCAAGTTTGTCTTTGGGCTCGACCTAAACGGTGTTGGCGTGTTCGTTGCTTGCTTCTGCCTTGACTTCGTTTTGCGACAGAGGCGGAAAGAAGACAGAGCGAGGGAAAGCAATAACAAAACGAACACGGAAAACATTGTTTAGTTGGGCCTCCCAGATGGGTCTGGGTCGGTGTAGGTGGGGTCGGAGGATCGCGTAGCATCGCCGCGATGTGGCTCGATGTGGAGATCGATTTTCTCCACGTTGACGTCGCCGATGCTTTGCCGACGCATCGGCGATATTTCGGCGATCCCTTGCAATCCTCCGACCCCATCTTCTCGGACCCCATCTGGGAGGCTTCTATCTGCGAGAAAATTTGGATACCATGGCCAAAAGACCTTAGGGGTGGGCGAGGGTCCTGGTCGTGGATTTGGTATACAAAATTCCCTCCCTGGGGCGTGGTTTCTGTACGTGGCCCCGTGGGGTGGAGTCTGACTGGAGGGGGGAGGGCGTGGTATACAAAAAAACTCGAAGCTTCTGAAGCCATGCTGAGGTCGAACCCGGGCACTTGGTGCATTTCCGATCTCAACCACTTTCAGCTGGCGACGCGTTTCGGACTCTAGGTCCTCTTCTGGGTCAAAAGGCTGCGGTCGGTGTCCCACGCGCGTGCAGTGCAGCGCGCGAGCAAGGCAGCAAGGGGTCAAGAGTGCTGGGGTGAAAAAAACCCATCTGCCCACCCACCCTACCTAGGCCAACTATGCCTATGCAGCAATCTGAACACGTTCTTCTGAACCCCGGTCCCGCAGATGGCCCGCGACCCCGCCTCTCCTCCGCGAGTCTTTGCGCCGCGAGCCCGCTGGAGCCGTCGGCGGGCCTGTCTGGAGGCCCCTCGGAGGCCTCGGGTGGAGGCGGCCTCCCGAGGAGCCTCTGGAGGCCTCGCCGCTGCCGACGTCGCAGCCGTCGGCGGCGTCGGTGTTCGAGGATCGGAGGTACAGAGGCTCTGCACCACGACCCCGCGGGTCCCGTCGCCGTCGCCGTCGTCGTTCGAAGGTGGTGCTTTGCGGATACCTTCGGCCCTCCCGAGGCCTCCAGAGGCCTCCGCGGCGTCCGGCCTGGGTTTCCGCGTCGCGCGGCCCCGCGTTCGTTCGCTTCCCGCACGTCCTCGTCCTCATAATCTTGAGGCGGTACTCTTTGTGAGGCAGTCCTCTTCGCTTCTCCGTTCTCCAGGGCTCCATGGCCTAATTGAGCCGTCATCCTCTTCCCCCGACTTCGTCTTGTTCGTCGATGTTCGCCATCGTTCTTCGCCTGTCCTCGCGTTCCTGGCCCAGCCTCGTAAGGCTCCTGCTCTACCTTTTCACGCTGCAGATGGGGCACGAGCCGGAGCGCGCGTGCCTGTGCCCTCGCGGCCGCGGCCGCGGCCCGCCGGCGCCGGTTGCCAGCGCTGGCCGCTGCCGCGGCGGTCTCCTTTCCGAGGACTTGAAGACAGAGCTTGGTTGGGTCGGGGGAATTGAAATCGGCCCCTTGATGAGGGGAAGGAGAAGCGACGCCAACACCACTAGGGGACTAACTCCGGCGAGGAGATCCACGATGCCTCGCCGAGCTGGGGAGAAGGGATGTCTCTCGAGCGAGAGGGGGGACCACACCACCAGGGGAACCCCTCCCTGGCTCCTCCCGCTGGTGGTCCCTGGTGTTGTTGGTGTCGGTTTCCCATGTGCCTACTTGACCTCTCCTGGGGTGTGTTCTGGCCAGAATTTCATGAGAATCCAGCTGTGGCCATGCGAGGCCCCCCAGAGGCCCCCAAACTGACCAGACACAGTAACCCTCGAACCTCCTGGACCCAGTTTTGCGGCCGTCGTGTTCTGGCTCGCGTGGTCATCGCTGGCGCCTCAGGGGTAACGACAGGAAGGACTGGCCTGGGGGGCGGAAGCATCGACCCACCAGTCGCCCATCCGTCGCCAATCGGGACGTGTGCGCGCAAACCTGCCCAGTACCATATGCGGGTTCGCCGTCGAGAGCCTGTCGCCGATCGATCGACGATGCATCCCCGATCCCCAGGCCATGTTTCTCCCATGAGCCAGTCCTCCCCCCTCTCGTTCCCCCTCATGAGATGTTCTGTATCGTTTAACCTATCCCCATCCCCACCGCGCCATGGTATCTGGGGGGGCCACTGGAGGCTCTTGGGCCGTCTCGGGCCGTTGGACGGCCGAAAAGAAGCAAAAGCCAAAGTCCTTCAAAAACCTAAGGACAATCAATGATTTTGGCCTCTGAGGGCCCTCTTGGGGGGCCTCTTGGGGCTCTCTTGGGGCTCTCTTGGGCGCTTTGGCGGCCTCTTGGCGCATCTTGAGGCAATGTTGGGCCTTCTGTGGCCTTTATGAGGCTTCTTGGACGAATTTGGAGGCATCTCGGACTCTTGAGCCGGCTTGGAGGCCATCTCGGATCATATTGGCCGAATTTGGAGGCCATCTTGGCCGTCTTGGAGGCTGTCTTGAGCCCGCTTGGAGAGTTGTTTACAGATGTTATGCTCGTTTGCGCTCGATTGTGCGCTCTTCCAGGTGGCAGGCGGGCTGGGCCGGAGCCCCAGGGGAGAGTTCTTTTGGAAAGGGAAACATAACCAAAACCGAAGGAATCCATCAGGCCGGGCACCCTTGTGGCAAGCACAGGAGGCGGCGGATCGAAGAAGGCTACGACGAATCACCGCCGCCCCCTGCCTTTTGGAAGCGCCTGCGTGGCCGAAAGTTGGGTTTGAGCTTGGCCAAGCTATCGAGCCACGCGTTCCCCGAGTGGGTTTCGAAAGCTTTCGGGTGGGTCTTGAGGCCATCTTGAGGCCATCTGGGGCCTTCTTGGGTGCATCTTGGGGCCATCTTCGCTGTCTTGGAGGCCATCTTGGCCATCTTGGAGGCATCTTGAAGGCCATCTTGGCCGTCTTGGAGGCCATCTTCGACGTCTTCGGGGCCATATTGGCCCGTCTTGGGCTCTTCTTGGGGGCCTCTTGGGCTGTCATGGGTCCATTTTGGAGGCCTCTTGGGCGCTCTTGGGACGATGGTGGGGGCCTCTTGGGCCGTCGGAGAGTTGATGGGAAGAAAATGCCAAAATCCTTCAAAAACTCAAGGAACAGCAATGATTTGTGCCCTTTCGGGCCTTCCTGGAGGACGTCTTGGAGGCCTCTTGGGGGCCTCTTGGCCGGTCGGAGGCCAGCTTGGAGCCATCTTGGGCCGTCTTGGAGGCTTCTTGGACGAGCTTGAAGGCATCTTGGACTCTCTGGGGCCGTCTTGGAAGCCATCTTGGACCATCTTTGGCGACTTGGAGGCCATCTTGAGCCAACGTGACCATCTTAGAGGCCATCTTGGGCCGTCTGGCGTGGGAAGACCGACGACCTGGAGAATTTACGGGTCCGTATTCCGCGCCGGCGGGACGGGCCGATGCCCCAGAGGGAGTTCTAAAATAACCAAAATCAAAGGGTTTAATTAGTATGCCGGGCACCCCTGTGGCAAGCCAACAGGGGGCGGCGGATCCGAGTGGCATTCGGCCCATCCCGCCACCGTGCCTGGGTTGTGGGTCTGAGGCCTTTTGCTTATGTGTTGGGTTGTCGTGAGGAGCCTCTCGGGGGCCTCTTGGAGGCGGTTTGGGCGCCTCTTGGCGGCCTCGTGGGGTATCTCTTGGGCCTCTTGGGGCCTCTTGGCGGCCTCTTGGGGCCTCCTGGGGGCTTCTCGGAGCGCTTCTCGGAGCGCTTCTTGGGCCATTTTGGAGCCTTTTCGGGCCGTCTTGGGGTCCTCTTGGAGGCGTCTTGGATTGTTTTTTAGCGGTCTTGGGAGCTGCTTGAGCCGTCTTGGAGCGTCGGAAAGCCGAACATGCGAGAAGGCCATCTTTCAAACACCTTCGTGACATCGGCAATGTTGGCCACTTGGGCCCCTCTCGAGAGGCCACTTGGAGCGCTCGTGCTCTTGGGGCCCTCTTGGGCCGTCTTGGAACCGTCTTCGGGCGCCTTGGAGCACTCTTGGCCTCGGCAATGCGAATGTGGCGTAATATGCAAGGGCTTATGGCCTCGGGAACGCGAATAGTGAGTAATTTACCAGGGTTAGTTACCTCGGGGACGGGACGCGAATAATCCGCAATGTGAAAAGGATTATGGCTGCGGGGACGCGAAAATTGCATAATTGTCGAGTTTGTTGCCTCGGAGACGCAAGAATTGCATACATTACGAGTGTTCCTGGCCTCGGGAACGCATATTGTGTAATGTGCAAGGAATGCGGCCTCGCGGGCGCGAATCTCATGTATTTTTACGTGCCCCATGCCCCACCATGAATTCAGAGATCGCGATCCGGGCGTGTTAAATTATTGGTTTGGGGCCCCCCCCCTCGCGCAGATTTCAACAATTGACAGCAGGAAGCAGAAAGCAGGACTGTAACATTGGAGACTTGAAAATGCAACCGGTGCAGGGAGCAGCAACTTCGCCCTACAGCCTGGTGGCCCCACAAGGGGGCCGGCGCATTGTGAAGCCCCTTACTCGAGGGCCCACGTGTCGCAGGACTCGGCTATGGGAGCTGGCCCTGGCACGCCGCAGCGCACCGCAGCGTGCGGGCTTCGATGGGCGCTGGTTCGGCATCCGTGGTCTCTCCGAGGCTCTGGCTTGGCGACCTTGACGGCGGAGTTTGATCCATGGACTCTGATCCAGGGCACCCACTGCGGCCGCAGTAGTCTCGAGGGTCTTTCCTGCTGCTCCTGGGCCGCCCGCCCCCCCCCGAACTTCGAGCGGCACCGCCCAAAGTTAGAGGACAGCGGAAACGAAAACACACGGGACACCCCCAACAAAGAACACGTGTGTGTCTCGAACGATGCCCAGCCCAGAACGCGAGGCGGAATACCCGGGGAGCATTGGCACATGTTCGGCTGAGCGGCCGCAGTACAGTGGGGGCGCGTGCCGAGAAACCAGTTGGATTTTGCCAGGGTGCCCTGGGTTTCTTGGATTCTGATGGGCTCCCAATCAGATCTTGACGATTTCCGATCGACACGTGTGGATTTTCACTGAACAAATCGCGTATTTCAGGGTTGGGGTTCTTGCGGAGGTTTCTTGTGGCCGAGCCCCCGCTGTATGCGGTCGTCACTCGTCGAAGGCACGAGGCGGGGCACCCAGGGGGCACCGGCACACGCCCTGGGAACGGCGGCCGCGCTGTGCAGGTTGTGAGAGGCAGGTCGGTCGACCTTGTCTTCGAAACCTCACAACCCCTTACAGTGAGCGGCTTGAGTAAGGAACACTTACTTTTCAAAAGGGGCTCGGTCGTTCCTTAGGTTCGCATGCGTTATTTACAATTCCTTATGCGTTATTTGTGAGTTATCGTTCCTTATGCGTTATTCCGCTTGGGATAAAAAAGGGGTTTCGTTCCTTATTTATCGTTCCTTAGGTCAACGCCCCGACTGTACCTACCTTCCTGCTGGGGTTACGCAGGAGGCCGTCAGACTGCACCCAGATCGATGACGCGGCGCTCGGGGGGAAGTGAGATCTCGAGGGAGCGTGCCTCCCCAGGATGCCGAATGCCGCGGGGCTTCTCGCAGAGGCCCCCCGTCCCTCTGACAGGCCGCCCCCGTCGCTTCCGCGAAGACTCGGAGCATCTCCCCGAGGGCCTTGTGCCTCCCGAGCCCTCTGAGGAGGCTCCGCCCCCTCGCCTCGCCGTGGCCCGGCGCCGCGCCCGAGGCCCGGTGGCGTGGGGCCGCGGCCTCGGCTCCTCCGGCCTTGGCATCGCTCGGACGCGTGCAGTTTTCCGTCGGCGAGGACCATCGAGGATTGAAGCTCGCTGAGGGGCAGCGAACGCGGTCTGTGTTTCTGGGGCGACGGGGGATAGGGCAATGCTCTTGTAGGGCAAGGGCAAACACGAGCAGCCCAATCGTGGGCAGGAGAAGCCTGAAACCAGAGCTTCTCGCGAAGGGCGGCGGTAAGGATTGCTGTTGACCGATCAAGCGCGCCCGCCGAGCGTACGGGGATCTGGCCCTGGAAACAACGCTGCCCCCCCAGCGACCTTCAAATCGAGGAGCATCCTTGATCATTTGGCGAAAAAGCCACGCACGAAACCGTACAAAAGCACAGGGGAGGGACGTCCGAGCGAGGGCCGGCGGCGGGCGGGCGCGGCGGCCCGAAGGCCGTCCCCGGGCCCTGGGGGGTGGCCCGCCCGCGTCGGCGCCCGTGGTGGGGGGGCGCGGGCCCCGGACCGCCTCGGGGGGCGGGCCGGGAGGGGGACAGCCTCCCTCCCTGCGCCCGTCCTGTGTCCCCCCGTCGCCCCACCCTCCCTGCGTCCTCGCTGCCTCCATCGCTCCCTCCCGTCCTGCGTCCTCCCTCCCTCCCCCCCCCCCCCCGCTGCCCACCGTCTCCCCCTCCCGTGCCCCCTTCCCTCTGTCCCCCATCCATGCATCACCCGCCCCGCCCACCACCTCTCCACCCTCGCTGCGTCCTCTGGAACCTTCCGAAGCGTGCATCCGAAAATGTTCCTGTCAGTCTCTCTTCCTCCACCCGTCCTCCCTCATGCAACAGGGTCTCCTCTCCTTGCGAGCCCCCGTCCCGTATCATCCCCTACGTGCCCTCAGGAGATCAAGCGGTTCGACCCGTTCAAGATCTTGGGCGTGGACGTGGGAGCGAACGCGTCTCAGATCAAGAAGGCGGCAGCCGTCTCAAGCGAAAGCTGGAGGGGGGAAGAAGAAGAATGGTCACGCGGAGGAGGGAGGGGTCACTAGGAGGGGCAGCTGGGCAGTTGGCTCGTGTCATGTTCCGTCGCGGAGCTCGGGAAGTTCAGTGTCGGCGGGCGTGGACGTATGCTCGACACATCATTTCGCGGCCTCCTCCTCCTCAGTCTGTCGCCTCCTCTTGTACTTGCTCCCCCTCAACTCCCCCCAACCCGTCCTCCGTCATCCATGCCTCCTCCCTCTCACCCCTCCCTCGGTCAGTCATTTCTCCTTCCCCCCAGTCCGCTTGCGCCCTAGGGAAGATGAGAAAATGGTTTGTGCACGCTCTTCTACTGTTGTCAGCCCTGGCAGGCTCCCCATTTGGTTTAATCAACCTCTGGCCGCCTCATCCCGATTGTTTCGTCTTCGGTGGTGTGGCCCCTGTGTTCGGTGTGCCCCTGTCCGCGATTCCCGTCCTGGTTATATTCAGTTGTCATTGTGCATTCAAAGATTTCACAGAGGTTTGGCAAAGCAGTGTGTGTTGAATTCTTGGGTCATGCTTGAGTTGTGATCACGCGTGGGGTGTTGCATGTATCTAGTGACCTTCGGCCCGCCCATCTCGCAACCGTGCTTGGGTTGTGGGCCAGAGACATCTCGGATGCATGCTACGGTCTATTGGGATGGCTCTCGGGGGCCCCGCGGAGGGCGCTTGCAGGGGGGGCACCGTGGAGGTTGCGTGGGGGCTCTTGGGCGCCGCGTGGGGGTACCTGGGGAGCCTTCCGGAGACCTCCTGGACGCCTCTTGGGGATGACTTGGAGGCGCCTCGAGCGCACCTGGTGGTCTCCTGGGGAGCGCGCAGGGAGCGCCCCGGCCGGGCAGCTGCTGCGCTCCCTGCTCCCGGCGCGGCAGCTGCGTCCTCGCAGGGAGCTTCCGGCAAGTCTGGCTGCGCGGCGCCCGCCAGTCGGGCCGGGCGAACAGGGGGGGGATTGGGCAAGGGGGCGGTACGAAATCTGCTGCATGCAGCTGGTTTCGGCCTCGCCGAGGGGCCCCTTCCTCGATACATGGGCGCCGGGAGGCGCCAGGAAAATCAGCTCCGTGAGCTGATTCTCGAACTCCCCCTTTGCTATCCCCCCCTTGCGCCCGACCCGAGCCAGGTCGTCGCCAGCTCAAGTTCTATCTCGGTGCGGTGCCTGGGCGCTGCAGCGTCGGAGGGCCAAGCGGATGTCCCCGCGTGGTCGGCCTGCACCCCTGGGCCCCGAGGTCCTCTCGAAGCCTCAGGCGCGGGATCGGGTCCCACAGAAAACTCAGGAGGGAAAAAACACACAGGCACAATTAATCGACGATCCCCAGGAAAATATGGGAAACTATGGGAAGTGGGGGGAAGACAGAAACCCCGAAAATATTGGAAAATATGGGAAATATTTGTATCAGGGTGTATTGATGTGTGTGTGTGTGTGTCCTGGGGCCCCTTTAGCTGGCCATGTGCATCGGCGCTGCGAAGCTCCGCAGGCGTCTAGTGGAAAGTGGTGTTCAGTGGTCCTCCTCTCTCACGAGCGCTGCTAGAGCCAATCCTGAAGCTGTTTGGAGTTTCGATGCGAGAATGGCCGCCTCGTACGAGACAACCAGGATCCAAGAAGAGGCGGCCAAATGCCAGGCTGCCCCCTCCTGATAGAGCTACTTCCCAGCAGTTCGAGTCGTTCCTCTTTCTCAGGGCGATGGGTGCCCAGAGCCCCAGCGTGTTTTTGGCTTGAGGCAGGTGCTGTTTCGGCCATATTGTCATACAGTCCTCCTCATCATCCTCCTCATCCGCATGTTTTCCCCAGCGCCCACACAGGCGTACCGGGAGCTGTCGAAGATATACCATCCAGATAAGAATCCCGACGACCCCATGGCACAGGCGCGCTTCATCGAGATCACGAAGGCCCCCTGCCAGAACTCGATCTGTCGGCGAGGAGCAGATGGAGGCAGAGGAGTGGCAGGACGAGGACCAGCTGTTCACACCAGCATCGGGTCCATTGCACCGTGGGAGTTTGAATGATCGAGTACCCTCGAAGAGGGAGGACGACCAGGATGATGATGAGATAGCACTGCGTCGGGGGGGGCTGCGCTGCGGAGGCCACCTGACCGCGTCCCTGTCCTCTTCGCCTTGCTAGGAGGAGTGGGGGGGGCGGAGGAGGAGGAGGAGGAGGAGGAGGAAGAGGAGGAGGAGGAAGAGGAGGAGGAGGGGGAGGAGGAGGAGGAGGATATTTTCGTACCGGGGGGGCCAGAGCCTCTCCACCCCAAACCCACGGGCCAGCGCTCCATCCGGAGCCGCTCGTGGATGGTCCCCTTTGAGGCCTAAGATGGCTGCTGCTCCTCCTCCTCCTCCCTCCTCCTCCTCCTCCTCCTCCTCCTCCTCCTCCTCCTCCTCCTCCTCCTCCTCCTCCTCCTCCTCCTCCTCCCCCCCCTCCCCCTGCCCCTCCTTGGCGGCCTCGTTTTGTTTGTTTCGAGTCGACGACTGCCCGGGTCCCCCGACAGGTCTCCAGGAAGCTTCCGTAGGAGGTGGTCCCCAGAGGTCTCCAAAGGCTTGACGAGAGCCAATCACACCCACACACACACTCACTCACACACGCACACATGCACACATGCTTTTTGCATCGTGGCCGCGTTCGCTGCGATGCAGCGTAATCAACCAGTAAAGGGCCCGAGAAAGTGCGGCCGAGCAGCATATACACCCACGCACGCTTTTCTTTCGCCACGCTGCGCCGATGACTCCACTCAGCGATTGAAGATACATGTGGGACGCCCGCAGAGCAAATTATCAAGTTTGAACCAAACAAGCCGGCACACGCGCACACACTCGTTCCTTCTCCGGCGCTGCGAAGGTCACGAACGCCTACAACGCAGCGGGGGACGCAACAGTAATGCGAACACGCGCGCACACATACGCACTTGCAACATGGATATGTGTAAATATACAGGCAAAAATGCAATAGCAAGATGAGGAAATGTTCAATGTTTCGCGTACCCTAACCAGCCCATCCAGGAACGATGCCTTGCGGAGGTACCTTTACCAGGGGAGCGCCGCATCGTTTGAATACTTCGGGAGCCTCATTGAACTAGAGGCCTCTTGGATGCTTATCGGAGTCGCTTGGGATGTCTCCAGAGGGGCTCTCGGTGTCGCTCTTGGTGGCCTCGTTGGGGCCTCGGGGGGGGGCTCTTGGCGCGTCTCGGGGGCCTCTTGGGGGCCTCCAAGGGGCATCTTAGAGCCGTCTTGGGGGGGCCCTCTTGGGCTCTGAATCAGCATCCCACCCCTCTGGAACCCTTGAAGTGGCATATTTGGGCCCTCTCGGGCGCTCTTGGAACCATCTTGGAGCCCTCTTGTGGCCCTCTTGGGGGGGGGGCATCGGACCATCTTGGAGCCATCTTGAGGCCTCGGACGGCCAGCAGAAGAAATGTGCGAAGGTAAACAACATGAATCTTGCTCAGGTGTTTGGATGGGGTTCGGCATCTTGGGAGCGTCCTGGGGAGCCCCCAAGGCCACTTGGACCCGACTTGGTGCGGACTGGAGACCTCTTGGATTATGTTGGAAGCCATCTTGAGCGACCTCACGCTATCTTGAGCCACCTTGGAGGCCCTCTTGAGCTATCTGGGGCTCCCCGTCCAGACCCAGGGGGACGGGGAAGGGGGACGGGACCCCCCCCCGCGAATGACGGCCGTCTCGCTCACTCCCACGCGCCATCTCACCACATAAGTAGCACCCGAGCCTCAGCATGGGCAGGGGCCGTCTTTGGCAATTGTCGGGAAGCAGTGCAGTCGCCAGCCAGGTGCGCGAGGTGCGCCGCGCATGCCAGGTCTTGGCATCGCTCGGACGTGTGCATTTTTCCTCTGGCGAGGACCATCGAGGAGCATCCTTGATCATTTGGCGAAAAAGCCACGCACGAAACCGAAATAAACACAGGGAATGGACGTCGGAGCGATGCCCAGAGGTCACCCTCGTCACCCCTGCCAAGCAGCAATGCAACGTGCTCGTGGGGCGCCCGAGAATGATCAAAGTTCTGCCCAAGGAGGAGGAGGAGGAGGAGGAGGAGGAGGAGGAACACTTGCATGTCGTGCTGGTCTCGGACAGGGGTGGTGGGCCTGCGCGCAGCAGGCAGTATGCCGCCTCCCCCCCCTCCCCCGTCCCTCGTCCTTGTGAACGAACAGATCATAGTGATCGCGTGCTACCTGAGCGTGATCCAGATGTTGCCGCTAAGCGAGTTGCCCAATGGTTTCTGAAAGGGTTGGCGGAGGGATGTTGTCAATTGCCCACATGTGTCGCCGGTCGAGTGGGGGAGGTGGTGCAAATTGATACGGAGCAGTGGTACACTTTTCCCCGAAGGGGAGAAAGGGGATTGGAAGAGGAGACGCCCTAAAGCACCTACGCCCGCCCGAAAGGGCTGATGGACCTAGGTTACTGGCAGCGCGCCCTCGGACCCATCCGAGTGTACACCAGCGACGGTTTGAGCGCCAGCCTACCTAAATCCAAGTGGGCCACTCTTGCCAAAACGCTACAAGCATGCATGTCTGAAGAAGGCGTGACAAGATATGCTGAACGCAGGCAGCCAGGACTTCAACGCATTGGCAAACATCAAGATTGAGGTTGTTCACCCTGTTCGCCCTCTGCAGGCCTTCCCCTGGCCCCAAGCGCGTTAAACAACAACAAGGGGGAGGTGGAAGAGGTAGGACGAAGGTAGAATCGAGACAACATCTGACAAAAGTCAATTGAGAATCTCCGAGAACCAGCGGGCTTGGAGGATATATCAGGCGCCGCGGCCGTTTCAGAGTGTTCTGGAACGCTCTGAGAGCGTGCTGGAACGCTTCGGAACAGATATATCTCGTTTCTAGGCCCGTCCGAAGAGGGAGGAGGAGAAGGAGGAGGAGGAGGAGGAGAGGAGGAGGAAAAGGAGGAGAAGTAGGATCACGACATCCTCGCGCCGTGAGAAGCTCACAGCGGAACGCTTCGGAAGCTCTTTCCGAAGCGTTCCAGAGCGCTCCCAGAGCGCGTTCTGAAACGGCCGCGGTACCCTGTACATTCTCCAAGCCCGCCATCCTCTCCCGCTGGTGTGGACGAAGGGGGGGAGAGATCGTGGCCTGGGCCATGGTATCTCCCGAGATCTCATGATCTCTCGCATCCCACGCCTCGAACCCTGGTTTTTGCTGGCCCACTTCTTGGACGCCCCCGGTGAGCGTGGCCGAATGCGCGGGGGAAGTGCGACAAAGCGAGCGCAGGCCCCTGAGGCCGGGTCGGACGGGCACAGAATCCAGATAAATCCGTTCCAGAGCGTTTCGGAGCGCTCTCAGAGCGTTCCGAAACATTGGAACGGCCGCGGCGCCCGATGCATCCTCCGAGCTCGCCCATTCTCAGAGATTTCCGATTTACATCGGTCCGATGTTGTGTCGATTCTGCCGTCGTCTTGCCTGGCGTCGCAGTTTTGCAACACCGGGCGGTTCCACACTGTTTCGGGCCCCCCTGGGCCCTCGCGGATCGCTCCGGCTCGAGACATGCCGCACGAGGTGGGGGGGGGTGGGGAAGGCTCGCGTCACGCGCGAACTTTCGCCATGCCGCGTGTTCGCTCGCGGCATCGGATCGCAGGGGCCGTGCAGGCCAAGCCTGGGAGCTTCACGATGGCACCAACGTGGTCACCGGGCGGGGAAGTCCGATCAAAGCCGATCCCACCTTCCTTGGGCCAGGGTACCCCATTCCTGGCCAGCCCACTCACCCCCGTCATCTGTTTCCCACTGCGGAAAGGCAAGCCGGTAGTGGGGCCAAGGCTGTGCCAGTTGGGATGGGGACCTTCCCTCCCCAGCCCCCAGACGCCGCGATGTTTTCTCAACGTGGACACCCAGGGGTCTGGACCCCTTCAGCGGAAACAGGCTTTCGCTGCGAATCGGTTCCGGGCGCTCCCGGGGCTCAGCGAGTGAGAGATAGCGAAAAACCTTCGTCGTGGCATCCTGTCCACGCCGCGAGATGGTCTTTGCTTTTTTTTGCTTTTGTAAAGATCGAAGAAATACTTCCGAGAATTGTTTTGGGGAGTTCAAAGAGCCAGGCTCCCAGTGGACGGCGGCGGCCGCGGCGGCGGCGGCGGCCGCGCCCCGCGGCCCGGGGCCCGCGCGGCGCGCTCCCGCCCGCGAGGCGAACACCGCCCTGACGGACGAGGGTGCCAAAGCGAACTACGAGAAGTGACCCCTCTCGGGGATCGAGAATGGGGATCGACTACAAAATTGACGTACCTCAGAAATGATTTCCTTGTCTGGGCCCCGAGGGGCGATGTTTTGCCCCCTCGTCCCCCCTCCTCCTCCGCCTCCTCCTCCTCCCCTTTCCTTTTTGCGCAAGAGCCATGGCACACGTGCCACTTGTTTCCCCGTCGGAAAAGAGGGGGGTGATGACTAGGGGGCGGAAAAGAGGGGGGTGATGACTAGGGGGGGGTGGATTTCATGGCATGGGCCATGATATGTCCCCAGATCTCATGGCGCCTCTTCTTGTTTCATTACGTCCCTGGCCCCCCCGCTGGGCCGGGCACGTGCCGCCGATTTACCCTCGATTTCCAGTGGGGGGGGGTCGGGAAGCATCGAAAAAACAAATGTGGAACCCTTACCCCCCCCCCACCCGAAGTTCGGGTCTTCGGGTTGGGTTGGGGTGGTCTGGTAGGTAGTCATCTCAGGGATCGAGTAGGGGATCGACTACAAAATTGATGTGCCTCAAAATGTATTTCCTCGTCGGACCCACAGAAGTCCACGTAGAATGTTCGTAGATCTGCGAACATTCTTCATTTGTTCCGTATATACAACGAACAAATCAATTCTTGGATGGATCAATTCTGTAGTCGATCCCCTATTCGAAGGGAGGGGGG